TCTAGCAATATCAGATTTATTCTTTGTGGCAACCAACATGTCATCAACATATAACAAAAGATAAATCATGGAACCATTATCCAGCTTACTATGATACACACAGCAATCATATGAATTCCTGTCAAAACCTTGTGAAACCATAAAAGAATCAAACCTTTTGTACCACTGTCGGGGGGATTGCTTAAGTCCATACAATGACTTTAGCAATCTGCAGGCATAGTGTTCCTTTCCAGGAACTTCGAATCCTTCGGGCTGCTTCATCAGAATCTCCTCCTCCAAATCGCCATGAAGGAAAGCCGTTTTAACATCCAACTGCTCCAGCTCAAGATCAAAATGTGCTACAATTGACAATAACACACGGATAGAAGTATGTCGAACCACAGGTGAGAATATCTCAACAAAGTCAACCCCTTCTACCTGACTGAACCCCTTAGCAACTAGCCTAGCCTTAAAACGTATTTGCTCAGTTTCCGACAACCCTTCTTTCTTCTTGTAAATCCATTTACAACCCACAAGCTTCCTCCCTTCCGGTACCTTTACCAGTTCCCACACTCTGTTCTTGTAAAGAGACTGCATCTCTTCACCCATTGCGGCAAGCCATTGCGCAGACTCACTACAACTAATTGCTTGTTTATATGTGGCAGGTTCAAATGACTCTACATCATCAGCTACACTCAATGCATAACCTGTCATCGCATCAACACAGCAATTTCTTCCCTCCATCTCTTCAATCAATCTAACAGGCTTCTTGATAACTCGTTTAGGCATCTCAAGAATGGTGTCAGGTTGACTAGATGACCCCTGATTAGATTGCTCCACCTCATCCCCAGAGTTAGAATGAGTAGGAGTAATCTCAGGTTCAGGAGTACCCGGCACTGGAACATCAGCATCATCATCAATATATTGTACCCGAGGTAAATCAGCAATGGTAGACTGATGTACCTCAAGTACCCCATCTGTCTGTAATAAATTGTCTCCTTCCCTTCTCAAATCTGAAATCTCTGCATTTTTAATTGAATACATGGTGTTTTCATCGAAAGTAACATCCCTACTAAGAATGACCCGACCCTCCGAAGGTGAAAAAATTCTAAACCCCTTCACACCATCCCCGTACCCAACAAAACACCCCTTCTTGGCTCGTGGATCCAGCTTACCCTCAATAACATGATAATAAGCAACACAACCAAAAATCTTCAAATTCGAAAAATTAGGCAACTTACCACTCCAGATCTCAAACGGAATTTTGGAATCAATTCCAGAATGAGGACCCCTATTAATGACATAACAAGCTGTTAACACAGCTTCACTCCAGTACCTCCTCCCAAGCCCTGCATTAGAGAGCATGCATCGAACTCTCTCTAGCAGTGTCTGATTAACCCGTTCTGCTACACCGTTCTGCTGTGGTGTCTTCCTGACAGTATGATGCCGACCTATACCCTCATCTGCACAGAACTGATTAAACTCGTCTTTGCAAAACTCTAGCCCATTGTCCGTTCGTAGCTTCTTGATCTTCCTTCCTTGTCGATTTTCCACCAAAGCTTTCCATTGCTTGAAAACTTTGAAGGCCTCATCCTTTGACTTAAGCAACCTAAGCCATGTGTATCGGGACTTGTCATCAACAAATGACACAAAATAGTGGTAACCTCCCATACCTTCAACTCTAGATGGACCCCAGCAATCTGAATGGATGTAATCGAGCACTGCATCAGTAATGTGAGCACCCTTGCTGAACTTTGACCTGTGTTTCTTACCAAACACACAATGCTCACAAAATTCAAGGTTGGCAACCTTGACCCCGGATAGAAGACCCCTCTTGGACAATAGCTGCATCCCCTTCTCCCCCATATGACCAAGCCTCATGTGCCAAATCTTAGTCATCTCCTGGTGAGATACAGATGCGCAAACCGCAGAACTAGGCAGTGTAACACCCTCAAAAACATAGAGGGTGTTCCTTTTGATACCCTTAAGTACCAACTCAGAACCTCTGAAAATACACAACTCCCCATCTGAAAACACACCATTGTACCCCAAGTCATCCAGGGTACCCAATGAAATCAGATTCTTTCCTAAAGCAGGAACATGCCGTACATTAGTCAAAGTTAACCTCCGCCCATCAACAGTCCTCAACCTCATGGAACCAATACCTGTGACCTTACATGGAGCATTGTTACCGACTATAACCATGCCCCCATTGCGAGGTTCATATGTATCAAACCAATCTCGACGTGGACACATATGGAACGAACACCCTGAATCTAGAACCCAGTTATCAGATAAATCATCAGACCTAGCAGAACTGACTAATGCTAAATCTTCCTCTGAATTATAGCTCTCATTCGGTTTCTCTTCAACTACAGCAGCCTGGGACTTGTTTTTCCTCACCGGACAATTATTCCTAAAGTGACCCGGTTCTTTACAGTAATAACATGTTTTAGTAGTAGTTTTACTAGATCCATCCTTGCCGTTTCCAGCACCCGACCCAGCATTGTTCCCCTTGTTAAACCCCTTATTCTTTTTAGACTTTCCGGACTTAACAAACAACCCACTACCATTATCCCCACTATCACTCGTAGCTTTCATTCTGAGTTCCCTAGTATGAAGTGCTGCCTTCACTTCTTCTAAGGTTATAGAATCCTTACCAACAACAAAAGACTCTACAAAATTCTCAAAGCTAGACGGTAGAGATACAAGTAAAATCAACGCAGCATCCTCATCATCAATTTTAACATCTAAATTACGTAAATCAAGCAAAATAGAGTTAAGTTTTTCTAGATGTTCCCGTAAGGAAGTACCTGACTGCATCCGGAGGCTAAACAACCGCTGTTTCAGTAATAATTTGTTGGTCAACGACTTAGTCATATACAATGACTCCAGCTTCAGCCACAATCCAGCCGCCGTTTCCTGATCAGCCACCTCCGTGATGATTTGATCATCAAGACTAAGTAATATGGTAGAGTGTGCCTTCTCTTCCATAACTTCTAACTGCGAGTCAGTCGGTCCGTCTCCTGACTCCGAAGTAGTACTCTTTGGAGCCAACGGACGCCATATCTGCTGTTGTTTTAACAGAGCCTTCATCTTAATTTGCCATAGCCCGAAACTATTTTTCCCGGTAAACTTCTCAATTCTTATTGTTGAATCTCCTGCCATTGTTATCTTCAAGAAACTCTCCAAGGATTGAACCTGAGCTCTGATACCAATTGTTGTGCGACCTTTGCTTCCGCTGTCGCACAACAGAAGTCTCGCTAGACTTGTAAACCATCATTATGGTCTTCGATTGCGGAATCATCAATGGTCATCATCATCGTAAAGTAATCTAAGTGTTGTTTATCAGTTTATAATTTGTTAAGATAAACAATTTAAAAAGACTAGAAGTTATATAACAGCTACCATTAGATTTGACTACTTTTGGTAAGAGTTAAGGAACATTTTTTCCTTTTCTTAGTAGTTTCTTTGCTTCTTCCTTAAAAGGTCAATGACACAACGTTTATTTATTCAGGTCAACTAATGAAATTCTTTGGCTAAACTTTACTACGGTAATAATATTATTGTGTTTGTGGAATTGTGGTATTTCAAAATGTAAATCATCAAAGTGACATCAAAGGTAATTTTTCAACGCGTTAATATTAGGATAAAAATGGAAACAAATGATGTTACGATCGCAAACAGGAAACAGATCGGTGATAATCTCGTTCGATAAAGACAAGTTTGGACTTTGGAATTTAATGAAGATTGTTGAAGTAAATGTGGTAGAGCTACCGAGCTACGCAAAGATGAAGTTGAAGAAAATAACGTCAAAAGACTAGGAAAAGCGGCGAAATTGTGATGAAGGAAAAAGAAAAAAGAAAGAAACTGTAGGAATGAAAGCAAAAGATGAGACAAATGGGATTCGAATATTCTATAATCTTTCTAGTTACTCCATGTACCAAGTATAGTTTTTGTATCGAATACAGAGATACAAGTAGTGAAGTACTACTTGTCAAAAAAAAAAAAAAGCAGTGAAGTACTGTATATTATAAGCTTACAACATCAATTGATACAAATTAATTACCAATAAAGTGTTAGCTCACTTAATAAGATTCTTACCTCAAATCTTAAAGGTTTGGGGTTCGAAAGAACAACATAACAACCTTAATAATTAAAAATATAATCATCTTACAATAGCTTAAGTTGGGTACGTAAAAATATAAAATTGCACTTTATGAAAATTCGACTCATCAATTACTATTCATGTGATAGAACTGAAATAACTTTGACAACAAACTATAAATTAGCATGTGAGAACAAATTTATTAGACTCTGCATATTATTCAAATATCAACTTTTTATAATTTTTATTCTCACATCCAAAAATATATACGATCAAAGATGTATATGAGAGACTGCACAAATATAAAGTGAGTCGAACTTTCATAGATGGAAGGAGTACGAAGTAGTATAATATGTTGTCTAGACTTTTTTAGAACACTGAAAAGAAATTTCTCAATAAATTTAGTCTTATGTACTCCGTATCAAATATTTTGGAGACCATATTATAACCAAACAATATAAAGTATTAGACAACTAACAAAGTGTTAGCTCACTTGATAAGTTTTTTATTTTAAAGATATTGAATTAACATGAACATTTATATACCAATCGACACATGATTTTAACATGCAAATCTAAATTAGTACCACAAGTCCACCATAATATACTACTCCTTCCGTCCCTTATTTTTTGTCCCATGGCAAATATATGGGTCAAACTCATAAAACTTTGACCATTAATTTTCGTTAATTTATAAGTGATAATATACTTACGTGGGATCTCGTTAGAATCGCCTCATTGTAAATTTTATTAATATCCAAGTTTATAATTTTTATTCGTATTGAAATTGAGATATATATGTTTGAACGCGCGTCTTGAAGGCCGTAAAAAGTCAAATGGAACAAAAAATAAGGGATTAAGAGAGTACGAAGTAAGTATTTAAAATGTTTATCTAACGCACCCGACCTTTGTTAGCGAGACCCTTTACATGTTAGTATGTTACCATTCGATCTTCTTCTTTTCGTCTGTTCTATCGTGTTCCCGTTTGTCAGTAATCCGTACTCGTCTCCTCCCCGGAAAGCCGCAATTTCCTATCAAATTTCTAGGGTTTTCAATTCACAACTTACCCCCAATTTTGACCCCCAAATCATTCATAAATCATCAATTAATCACAAAATCTTCTCATAATACCATTCAATTTCTGATACAACCATCCATTTCTTTCAATTTTTCGAATCAAAAAAATGTCATCGGGTCAATCGAGGTCGGTGTTAGAAGGCGACTTACAGATAGTTGCAGTAGAAGATAAGCCGTCTACGATGTCCGCTTTTCCGCCTAGACCGCCGTCGTCGACGAGCAACGCGATCGTGGAGTACACTCGTGCTCCTTTCAAGGAAGAAGAGGAAGATATTGAAATTAAACTACGTCGTATTCTTGAGAATGTTCCTGTTCGTGTTAGTAATACTTCTGGTAGTTCTGCTGGTTCTGGCTCCGGTGATTTTCATCAGGTTTCCTTTCTCTAAAACCCTAAGCCCCTAATATTTCGTTTATTTATATATGTAATTCTTTATTTTGTTTTAAGGCAATTTTAGCTGTTAATTTTATTTATTTAGTTGTGATTTGGGGCAAAATGTACTAGTAGTTTAATTTGCAAGAACATTAGATTATGAGAACCTGGGTGAGTAATTAGTGTTATAAGTTGATATCTTTTCAAATCGGAATTAGGGATTATTTGTTTTATAAGTGAAAAGGGGAAATTTTGATGCTTGTGGCGTACAATAGAATATTGTAAGTGATGTGATTTAGGGATGATTTTGCTTATTTTTTTAATGAATTTTTCTGTGGTTATTGCTAGTTGGTTGTGGAAGAAGTTATGTGCGTAATGTACTTCGGGTTGTAATTTATTTTTGAAATCAAGCTTAACTACGGGACAAATTAGAGAAAGTGAATGATCATGACCAATTGTTGAAATTACCTAAGAGGTTATAATCACAAAACAAATTGAGCTAAGGGTGGTTTTCTGGGTTATGAATCATCAGTTGGAATGAATAGTTTGGTTTATGAAAATGGTTCAGTTGGGAGCATGAATGGTTAGGAAACGGAGACACGTGGATGATCTTTGTGATGAGGAAATATATGATACAGTTCAAGGTCAACATCGTGTTTATTTTCATTGTTTGATGTTGCAGAACGAAGTAATAGGTTTGGCTTATGGTTCTATAACCGGGAATGGGTGCATTACTGCATTTATATTATCTGTGAAAACTATAATTCTTTACATAAGCAATACTTCGTACATAATTGCAACCTTTATCCGCTGAAAGGTTTTGGCGAATTGGAAAAATATATGGTAGATAAAAAAAAGGAGGAATTTTCTTTTGCTGGGTTTGATCACAAATGCATATTCTGTTTGCTTCTGTAACCTTCTTCCTGTAGCTTCATTTGTCACTTGTATAAGTCGTCTAGATTTAAAGGCACTAATGCTTTTGTTTCCAGTTTTTTCACTGCCATTTGAGATTTTTTAACTGTTCGCGACTTGAATATTATTACCTTGACCGCTGCTGAATGCTGGAGCCATATGTTCTCTTGCTTTAGTATATTTGTCATATTTAGCTGAGAGCCTGAGAGTGCCTTTGTATGGTTGGGATTAGAGAGAGTTTTGCCAAATGTTGCAATTATTTTGCAACCTTGTACAAAATAATACGTTACATTTTAAAGAAAAATTATGATTTTAGAGGAAAGCTTATGCTGGTTTCTGCATGATGGATGAACAATAGAACAAGAGCATGTTCTTTTTGAATAATAAATGTAAAAAAGGGGGTTTTGACGTTTGAACCTGGAGAATGCGTGAATTATGGTTATTATATTCTCCTTCTAACTTCAATAGAGGCAGTATGGCCAGCAATCCAGCATATCTGAATAGAAGTTCAATTTCTCCTTACCATGTTTATAAAACAATATTTTGGTGTTACTTTTCTTTTTTGCTTTTGTTTGCTTTCATTTTCCACTTCTATTCTTTTAGGAGAATTGTGGGAAAGGGGGTGGGGGAGACATGGAGTTGGGTTTGATATCATATTGACGTGAAGAAAGTGTTTGCCTTTTCATTCAAAGCATATTGGGTTAGTACTGCTTAATCAGGTTTTTGAGATTCTTGTTCCTTCTCCTCTTCTAGTATGAATGATTAATAAAGTTAGTGCAAGCACTCATTTGTATATACTATTCAGTTTGTCTTGAAAGCAAAAAGGGGATAAAATTAACACACTTCTTATTTTGAATAGCATTTGATTCTTGTTCTGCAAAGTTGCATAGGTTCTACACAAGAGCTGCTGTTTCAATTCATCTTGCTTGTTTAATAGTTGGTTATTGTGTTGGCTCAAGTTGTACAAGATCTAGTCATAGCCCGTAAATCTGTTCACAGTGCTTTTTTCTAAAGCTACTATCTGTAGTATGAGGAAATTGACTAACCCTTATGCCTGTATTGAAAGGTTGCCGGTCTGTATGAACAACCTTCTGCAAGTTTTAGTATTCATCCTTGAACTACTAGTTTATTCGGCAAAAATCTGACTGTTGTATGTTAAATATATTTTGGCATCCACTTTTTCGCATGTATATAATAAAAAAGTTGAGTTTGGGAATCACCATGGTGCCACTGTATTCTCTTCTTTGATATGCCCATCCTATAGCTCCTCTAGTGTGTAAAGTGCATTTGGTGGAGAGCCATTGAGAAGCGAGTGATTACTAGCCGTTTGTTTTGAGACAAAACAGCTGAGACTAAGATTGTGAATGTGTTGGCATGCATTATTGGAATAAAATGCAAAATCTTGATGAGCGAATCGCTGTGGACCTTATAAGTGAAACCCTGTGGCTTGTTTTATACTTAGTTTTCTTGAACGTTAGACACAATTCTTCAAATTAGTTTTCGTCATTTACCTTTTACTAGTTCCCTTAAAATATTGGTCATCATGTTGAATGCAATTGACACATAGCTCTACAGCTGACATTCGTGACTCCTACATTTCTTGTTGTCTATGTTACCTCTGTGTGTGTGTGTGTGTTATCTACTTATCTGTTATCTGAAAATATAATCTATATGGGCCCTGTACCAATGGCCTGTTTCAAGTAAGGTGCGCTTATGTGCTTGTGACCTAAATACAGATTCTTGTCATAATGGTTTGAATGCTAAATTTGTACTTTTGCAGTACCGGCAAATGAGACGGAAAGAGCAAGACAGGCTTGTCAGAATGGAAGTTGACTATCAAAGAAGGAGAGAGGTTGCCGAATTTGAATATAGAAGAGAACAAAGACTGAAAGCCGCTGAAGAACAAGCAGCTAAAAAGCGTGCAAAACGCCAAAAAAAGAAGCAGAAAAGGAAGGAGAAGAGAAGAAAACCCAATACTGCTGGAGAGGAGCATCAGAAAGTGGATGTTTCCGATGATAGCGGGGATACTGATAATGATGAGAAGACAGGAGATGATTGAGCACTTTAGGCAGACTTTCTCCGGCTGTGATTTTTCTCCAATTGCCAGATAACACAAATTGATCAATTTGTGATTGGTTGAAGCAAAGTAGAGGTCTCCATTTGATCAATTTCATGGCTGTGCACGGTCGCTCCGCAGCCCCATATGACTGCACTCATTATACTTCAAAGTGATTTTGAAATTCAGCTAACAAAGAAAGTGAAGCAGGGGATTAAGGATCAAAAGTTTGGATATCATATCAACTTCTACTTTCTCTCAAAAAAATTGCATGATTACAAAGTAGCTACTTAATATGTTATCCGTGTAAAATGGTTTGAAGTTGAGACTTTATGACAAATTGACAATCATTGTTTGGTGTGTTTTTTTTCCTCTCATTTACTCCATGATATTTAACCTTTAGCTTCTCAGTTTTTAGGGCTATGATTTGCATTACTATTATCTTAAGTTTAAAATAAGTTGAAAAAACAAAATTAGTTGAAGATAAGTTGTGGATCCTAAATCACCTAATGTGTAGTACTGTGGTACTCTTGCTTCACTCACACATGTTTTACACCAAAAAAAAAAAAAAAAAAAAAAGAAAAAATACCCCAACAAAGTTCGCTCCTTTTGATTGTAATTCAGTGATTATTAATTCTTGGGTTTATTTTGTTGAAAATTGACATTGATATTAATTTGATAATGTATGATAAAATTAAACACTGATTGGACTAATATTTTCTTTTATAACTTGTTATATGTAATGGCATATCATTTTCCTTACAAAAGTATACTTAATTTGGCAGTATAAATGTCTCATCCGTTGCAATTCTTTTAAAGTAAGGAAAATAATCCCTATCAAATCAGAACCTCTCATCCATTACATAAAATCTAGTATATTTTTCAAAGGTTACATACTTTTTATTCAAAGTTTATCACTTAAATGAAAACGCAACCTAACTTTATACTCATAGATATACTGTTTATTATCATGGTTGTTTTCATCCCAAAAAAAAAAAAAAACACTGTCAATGGTAGTATTTTGTCCTCTTTTATCTTAAAGTTAGCTATTGTATTTTCGTCATTTTAGAGTATATACCATCTACACCATTTGTCTTTGCACGATTTGTATACATCACTATGCGCAAAAAAGGTTGTTCGACTTCAAATTGCACCTCAATTTCATATCAGCATATTTATTAATTTCTAACGCTTTCCCTCTTTTTCTTACCTTTAAAAAAAAATATGCAAAAAATAATTAAAAAAAATTAGAGTATACTACACTGCGGTTGGCCACACAGTGTAGCAGCTGACACACACCAAATAACCTCTGACCGACCAAGTAAATCCTAACCGAGTGAGTACCCATATAACACTAACAAAGTAACCCCCATAATGGTTGGCCACAGGTGTGACCAACCATATATAAAAGTGTGTGTACTACTCCCTCCGTTTTTAAATACTTGCTCCATTTTTTCATTTCCGACCGTTTTTAAATACTTGATTCATTTCCTTATTTGGAAAGCTTTTACAGTATTTAATTCATTTATCTCAACTAGTGAACCCAACATAAATTATATTTTATTAATTTCATAATCTCTCAACTATTTTTGCTTTTTACGAATTTTTTATTCTTCCACCTACCCCACTACCTCCATATTTTATTATTTTCTCCAATTTTTCCAACTCCGCGCATGGAAAAATGGAACAAGTATTTAAAAACGGAGGGAGTACCAAGTATTAAAAAAAAATGTATACAAGTACGTATTTTTTGTAGGAGAATACAAGTTCGTATTTTTATTAGGAAAATACAAGTACGTATTTTGGACAACAACATTTTGTCATTTCCGGTAGCAACAATTGTATGAATATTCCCTCTATTTTCAATATCCTAATAACGTAAAATTGTCGTCACCATTTCAATTTTCATTTCTTTCTCAACTGCTTTCCCTAACATCCAATTTCTCTCTCTCTCTTTCCTAAGAATCTTGAATCAGAAACCCTAATTCCTCAAAGAATCGGAGAATCCACAAACCCTAACAATCTTAAAATGGGCGATTCTCACACTAATCGTCGCATTTCTGTTCATCAAACACTCGGCTCTGGCTATGGTACTCTTTCTCTCTCCTCAATTTTTCATTGAATTTCGTTTGATCTCTGCAATTTCGATCATTCTCGCTGATTTCTTGACTCAATTTTGATGTAATTTTCAGTGGCAGACGTGTTATTATGGAGAAAACGTTTCGGAAGTATTTTGTTGCTAGTCTCATCAACATCATTATGGCTTCTCTTTGAACGTGCTGGTTATAATCCTTTAACTTTCGTCGCTAATGTGCTTTTGCTTCTTGTTGCTATCCTTTTTTTCTGGGCGAAATCTGCTTCTCTTCTAAATAGGTATTTGATTTTCTTTGGTTTTATGTTTTGATGATTTTTTTTGATGTTGGTTGGATATTGAAATGTGGTGAATTTGTTTGTGATGATTGATGAACTAGACCTCTTCCACCTGTCCCTGATTTGGAAGTATCGGATAAGTCGATTGAGCAGGCGGCTGATGTGATTCGAGTTTGGCTTAATCGTGCATTGGCTGTTGCTCATGAGATTGCTGTTTGTGGGAATTTGAGGGTTCTTATTCAGGTTTTGTGACTTTATTGGTGGAAATTTGTGAGTTCTGTTTGGAATTTGTTCATATTTAGGGTTATTTATTCTGAATTTTGTGTTTAGGTTGCAGCATTGTTGTGGTTGATTTCATACATTGGTAGTTTGTGCAATTTCGTCACATTTGTCTATATCGGTGAGTGCTTTTATATGATCACGCTTTTCACTGCTTTTTTCGTGCTGCTCTTGGCTTATTGGTATCACTGTGTATTAATATTGAGATGTTTGATTTGATAAATTGGGTAGGATTCCTTCTTGCTCTATCGGTTCCAGTGTTGTATGACAAATACCAGAACCAGGTTGATGAAAAGATGCATGTAGCATGTAGACTACTCGACGCTGGTTACAGAAAGCTTGATGCAACTGTTTTAAGAAAGATCCCAGTTTCATTGTACAAGAAAAAGAAGAAGACTCAGTAGGCTGAAGTGGTAATCTTCTTCCCTGATTACTTTACATGGTATAGCTTTTGAATTATGGAAAATGCATCTTTAGTATTTTCTTCTTATTGAGATGGTATGTGCTGGGGTTATGTGTTGTAAGTTTTTTGGCCTTTAAAATGTACGTTTACGTTTTTATGTTGATGTCCCTTGTGATGTTAAGTGAGTGACTTAGACATAGCATGACATCAGTGTCAAAGCATTGAAATGAGAATATTGGGCTTGGGAATTTAAATAGATTTCATCCTGGGCATACATACATCATGTTCAAGTTTTCCTTTGGTGTAGTTGTAGTTTCTTCTCCCTGTTTATTCTAAAGAATCGCGGATTATGTTTGTTCCAAGTTTATACTGCACTGTATATGAAGCCTGAAATTTTCATTGTACATTTGCTCTGGTATTTTGGGGTAGGGAGATATGTTCCTCTGGTGAACCTTAATGAGCAATGCATACTTTTCCTTTTTCATTAGTCCTTTTCTAACAAGGGGGGAGTTGTGCTAACATTTACTTCTGATATTGGTGCCTTAGGTTTGTGTTTATGTGATTTGCTTATGTCCTGGGATTAGGCTATCCATACTTGTGTCTTTTATTTGATTGCTGTTGGCTACCTTCTTGTCCTCAATAGAGTTTGCTTTTTGGGTATAACACCTACTAAGTTGCTATAGTACTCAGCAATTGATTTTAGTAGCATAATTGAGTTAAATATTTGATGGAGAATGTCCACACTTGAGGTATATTTTAGGACCCTTTATGTCTAGTAAGAAATGATTTGATTTACTGCTTTCTCGCCTGCCTAAATGACTAGTTCACTTGCACAACATTTATATCCTTACATAACCTTATCCTGAGTGTACATTTCTGAATCTTTACGTTATAGGTGTAGAAAGTAGTAGCAATCTTAATTGGTATGCCATTATCCCAAAGATTTATAGATTTGCTTGAGTGGATCCAACAGATAGGGCTTTGAAAATTATAATATCTTTTTCAGTAATTGTATTGTAGCAAATGTAAGAAAGACTAATGATAAACAACTGTAAAGAACACATGGATACTAATAATGTCTTAACTTGATCCAGAGGCTTGTTGATAATGACTTAGGGAGTTTATATATTACACGTTCCCCAAAACAGAAACAAAATTAGCCCCAAAAATAGGCCCAAATGGGAAATTGTAGCCCAAAAGTAAAGGATGGCTTGTCACTTGTGTGTGGGGGGTGTACAAATTTAAGGCATAATTTAACAAATTGAATGGAATCAGGAGTTATTTGGTGTTACACCATTTACTTCAGTTTTTTCTTCCTTCAAGGCTGTAGTGCTGAGAAAATTTCCTTTGATCATTGTGTGTTTTGTTTTGTCTTTATTTCTTTTTCCATCCAGCCACATGTAATGGAATAAGGAGCTACTTGTTGTAGACTGGACCATTTGATGTGGGTATGAGTGTGTTTTCTGTAATTCTGGTTCTGTATAATTACCTTATAATTTCCTGTTTTAGGTATAAGTGAAGTTTAGATTGATTTGGTGCAGTCCTGTTTCATCAAAAATGATCTGATGATATCATGGTGTGGATTTTTTGATCAAATTATGTTCTTTACCTGCTCTAAAATTGATTAGTCACTTTATCTCAGTGTGATATCTTCTTGTTATTGTGGCTTTAGTTTTAATTTGTGTAAAAGGAAATCTCCCCCGTGTAACACTTATTGAATTAGTGCTTACTTGCAAGTTGCAAATGCATTAAATACCTGACATAACTGTACCATTCTTCTGATAATATGATATAAAGCTAACAATTGTGAGAAGCTTTAAACTGTCATTTAGTTTTTTCTCTACTAGTGATGTGAAGTGTTTCTTGTTTGTTTAGGAATGGGAAAAGATGTGCTCAATTGTCTCTTTATTATATTTTTAATTTTTTGGCTGGTTTTGACTTTGTGAGGGTAAGGTTTCTTTTCCATTAAGTCACTTCTCCATCTGAAAACATATGTATCAGTTTGGAGCTCTGTAAACTTTGATCTTGCATGATACATCTTTCATGAAGTTTTTAACGTAGGAATGAATTATTATTTGATGGATATTGTTAACATATGTGAAGGAATATGTTTTTTTTTCCACAATAGAGGCAAGGGAGAGGATGATCATTTAGCAGTATTGATTCTTTTGGAAAGGTTTTTTTTAGAGATTATGGGGTAGCACTTGAGTGAAATGCATGTAACACCTAAAAAACCTCTTTTTGAAAGTTTTTTACAAGTCCAATCTTTTGCAAGCCCTAGTGACTGAGGTCTTGATAGTGTACCTTTTTGTAGTCAAGTGATAGTGATTGCCTGGATGATATATGTCCAATATGGGTGGGACTGATGATGACAGCCCTTCTTAATTATGAGACTATGGCATAAGAACATTGCTTTATAGAGGGGGGGGGGGACATGGATGGAAATCATTAAGCGGCATCATTGTTGAGAAGAGGAGTCTTAAGAAAGGATGTGGAGACTGTTTCATCTTAGTATGCCATGAGAATGTTGCTTTATAGAGGAGACGTGGATGATAGCTCCTTGTGTGCTTATAGAAGAGGCATGGATGATTCCTTGACTATAACCTACTTTCTCTAATTTTGGTTGATGCTATTTTAAATTAGTCCGTGGTTTCAGTTCACGCTGTTCCAATTTTGTATGATCGGAAGAGGGGGGGGGGGGGGGGGATGAGACTTTGTATGATCGGAAGAGGGGGGGGGGGATGTTACATAGTTATAGTATTTTACTCGCCTTGATAAATCTTCGTTACTAACTAATCACTGAACTATACATCAAGAAAAGGAATTTATCTGGGTGGTCTGTATCAATCTATGCAACATTTTCCATTCCATATTGGCGCTTTGATTTGCTCTTGTGGATCTGTTTATTAGAATGTAGTTATGATTTTTAAAGATTTAAAGTTGGTGCTTCTGATGGGAGCATAGAACTTATAAACTGGTAATCCCATGATTGGAGCATAGAACTATATAAACTCGTTCTGTTCACTAAAGTTACTTCTGATGTATCATTAGTCTTTTCAATGTGCATCAAATTTGAGCATATCTGGTTTACTTTATTGCATAAAGATTCTTTTTTTGCTTGGCCATTGTGTTTAGTTGTTTACCTATTGTCTGATATATTTTTCAGATAAAATTCAAGAGGATGTTCGAGCTGTGCATACCACACTTGTCTAGTAACACAATGTCCTAGATTGATGTTCACATTGGTCGTAGCTGGGATTTGGTTTGGGTGACTTGACTTTTTCCTTACAAGGTTTTAAGGAGTGGGTAAATTTTGTAGTTTGGAGATTTGATTGGCTTTACGGCGTTTATTCCAGAACTGAGAGAGTGTAAGATATGGTCTAGGTGGTGAACTGGAGATCACTTTTTCTGATGGAGAAATTGGCGCACATTAGTGTAAATCATCAGCATTAGGTATCCTTTGCTGTATTTTCTCAGTGATCCAGACTCTACATGAAGCTGGAAATTGTTGAGTGCTTTTCTTGGCGAAAATATAGATTAATAGTTGAAAATGTGTGCTAACTTTTTTTTTTTTTTTGATGGAAATGTGTGCCCATGTAATACTAGCAAGCTATAGTAGGACCTAATGATACCTTCCCGCATTTTGTGGACAGGTGTTTCACAAACAATTCTCATTCATTTTTGGGATTAATCTAGCATTTGGATATACACGTTATACAAATATAATTACGTCGTATTTTGTTAGGCAACATATGTTTTTGTTGGAGAGGAAATACTGGGAGAGGCGTAAAATACAAAATGTTGCAATATAAATATAAAACATACATATTAGCCCTATATTGACCTTGTGTTTTGCAAAATTCCTTGGTGGAAATTAAGGTTTGATTGTATCACCTTGAGTTATTGAATATTTAAACTCCTGTGACCTTATTTTACATATTGCTAAAAAAAATTCTGTAAAATGATTATTTTTATAAAAGTCCCAATCTTCCTCTTCCTTCTCTGATGGCAGCTAGGGGTGAACATGAATTAGATATCTGATCTAAAATAGATTTCGGATTGGATATCTGAAATTTGGGAAAATTTATATCAATAGAATTAGAAGGAATAAAGATGATTAAGATTTTGAAAATTATCACAAGATAATCGTTGAATGAACTGTGCTTCTAACCCAGAGAGTAGTATACTCCATTCCTGCAGTTAATGCTGCTAAGCAAAATATATGAAATCCATAATATCAGGAAGTTGAGCAAAATATATAAATTTCATTATATTAGTGAAAAATGAGCAAAATACTCTCGAAATTCTCAGCTCCCTAACCTTTTTTGTTTTATTACACCAGTTATTGACATAGTAGTTCAAACACAGCTATCAACAGGAAGGAATACAAGATTCATCAACAACATTCGTTTGTGACATAAATGAGAAAATCATCAAGAACCTTCTCTTAAACAGATGAAATGAAGCACAGACCCAAAAAAAAAAAAAACTCTAAGCCATCTTGGCAGCAGGAGCAGATCCAGTTGGCAATGTTACTGACCGCAACAATTCCAAGGAGGAAACAAGACCAAAGAAATGAGACAGTATAGTGTTAGCCGATGCCTGCAAGAGAGATGATCAAGTGAGTTATTGTAGGATAGTCAAGAGGTAAACATTTCTGCTTATTATTCTCCCTTCCTAAATTATAGTTCCATCTTTTAGTTTAGGGAAAAGTAGGGGGAAGGAATGTGTGAGAATTGAACTGCATGAATAAGATGCAGGCATGGTCAGCATGTTTCGTTAGCACCAACTTTGTTTTCCCTAATCTTAATTCTAAACAAGAAGATACAGCCAAAAAAAAAAAAAAAAAAAGAAATGGGACACTTTCTAGATCTTCCTTTTACTCCATCTACTCCTTAAAATGTATTCAGTAATTCTGTCACTTTAATATTATGCAAAATTTATCATCAATTTTGTATGCTAATTCAATAACTATCAATTACTCCGTAATATTTCATGTGCATTAACTCTAAACTAAAAACCTGAAAAAGGAGGAATAACACTGGACACTTTGACAGATCCCAGGGACTAGGGTATGTTATCTTGCATTTTGGAAGTGGGGATTGTAAAATCAGAGTGCGCATAATATCACTAGACAGTTATCTGCATCTAAGTGGCTAAATTTTTAAGTTTCAATGATATATACCTGGACCAAGAACACATCCAGAGCAAGAACAGGGCTCGACCCAGGGGCTACACCCTGGTAGTAAGGATTTGCAGATGTAGTGAGAGCCTTGGCAACAAGTAATCCTACAGTGGCTTGCATTCCCAATATAGCAGAACCCATACCAAGGAGATTCACAGCGATTCCATTTTTCAGACTTCTGACAACATCAGCACGAGGGGGAGCCTGAAATAGTAAGAATATGTTTAAAATTTATTTTGACCAAAATATCAGACTAATATCTTGGAATGTATCTTGGAAAGGTTTAAGTAATAAAATGAGAGATACATATAAAAAAGATAATTAAGATAACAGATAAGGATTTTATAGACAAAAAAGAGTAAAGTAATTGTCAATGCATGGGAAGCACAAAGCATAAACTAAGACTAGAAGTAGAAAAATCCACAGATTCAAGAATATTGAGGAGTTTCTCACTTCATATGAACTGCAGTCAAACTCCAAGCTAAGACGAGAGCAAATAACAATAATTTTATTAATATTGCACTCAAAGATGTGAAAAAAGATGACAAACAACAGATAATCATACATTTCCACCATTTCTGATTTGATTGCATCTGTAAGGCAAAAACCATGAGCATTTTATAAACAGGCACTGCATGTCTACAAGAATGATGAAACTACAGAGAAACCATGAAAGAATAATGTAAAGACAATAATATTGCTTACAGTCACTATTCACTACCCAGTGGTCAAGGAAAATTGATGAGATAGTAAACCTGATGCATACAAAGCTCAGGACCAAGATAGTGCATTTCCCAACATGAGAGTCATGAGACCATAACTGAGCCTAGGCTTTCTATTATATGTATATTGCATATTAAGTTATTGTTTTTTTTAAGTTTTAAAGGGAAGCAGAAATCAGGATTTGGGCATCCTATTCTATTCTCTCAATTAAAATTCGGATGCTTATGGAAGACAATTTATGTTAAATGCATAGGAATAAGAGCAAATTATGGCCATGAGCCGAAAATGCTCATAGCAACAAACCAGTAGTTTTCTCTCTGGTCCTACCTTTGAAGGGTCATTTGCTGATTTACGAAGTTTTTCTGATAGCCGAAGATAACCAAATGACCAAAAAACAGAAATAAATGCAGCAGCAATACCACCCGCAGTAGCATAGAATGTAATAGGTGAAGTGATCTTCCCAGTGACGACAACGGAAAATGAAAGAATCACAGCAGAAACGATTGTGCATATTAGCTGCCCCCAAAACCCAAATGAGCCCAACCTTTTGAAATATCTTGCTGTTTTCTCTAGTCTTTTAGCCACCTGTGCCAAAATGCAAACATCAAAAGTGTATATAACAGTTAAGGAATAGGCATGTCACAAAAGCAGAGATTATTACTATAGGTTAATGAGCAACCAGGGTAGCATTTTCTAAAATATCCATGCATTTCCATATTTCTGTGACTTCTGTCCCCCTAATTTCTAAAGTTACAAATGCCGCAATTGATGATAGGCAAGCATGTAAAACCCGAGGGTTGGGAAGGAAGATAAATTCATAGATTCACATTACTTAAAAGGAATCTTGATCACAAATCAGCAATCCTCAATCCACGTTGAACTATTACTTTCACATTCTAGAAGTAATTTTGATCGAATGCCTTTTTAATTCCTAACCTAACATCTAAAGCTACAAACTAAATACAGAACTAGACTAATAGTCAAATCTACAAAAAGAAAGGTTATATTCTTACTATGTCAAACAAGTTTCAGCAATGAGCATCATCCATCATAGGCTCAAAGACCAAAACAATTGAGTTCGAATTTCGCCATAATAATCATTAGCTAAGCAATAATTCCATTTCACATTACAAATCTACATCTACAGCTCCCTAGTGAAGTTTGCTTCATAATTACAAGGTACAATTCCACTTCATTTGCTCAAATTTAGACTGTTTGAGTCCAAATTTCACAATTACAATTAAATTAGGGTTTAAGCCATATACTTGTAATTCTAAACCGTAAAAACTTCGGAATTTGATAAGAATTTCAAATCCAATGTCTAATTAAGCTACATAGACAATTACATAAGCGATAATTTGACACTAAATTCAGCAATTTAGAGGCGTAAAATGCACACATAACTCATATAAACACAAAATTGAGGAAAATCTTCAGCATTTTACATTAAAATCAAAACCTAGAATCACTCAGGAGAATTTCATGAATAAGAGCCAAAAACGTGTTGAATTACAACGAGTTAACTCACCTGAGCTAGTTTAACCTGATCAGACTCATCAACGGGAGAAGAGAAACCAGTGGAAACAGGAGACGACGCCATTAGAGGAAGCCAATGCACCATTTTTATCGAATTTGTTGAGGAGAGAGAAAGGAAGGATGAAGACGACGATGAAGGAGGATAGAGAAAGCGAGTTGAGACTGGTATTCGCCTCGAGAGGTGTAAATGCGCTGCCGTCGTCACCGCCGGAGACGGCGGCGGAACGCCGGAGCGAGCCGCCGGTATAAGCAGCGTTTGCATAATTAAATTTTTAGAGAAAATGAAGAGGAAAAAATAAAAGAGAATAATAAAAGTGTTGTCAAAAAGAGAATATTGGGTTCTTGCTTCATTACACTATGGTAGTGAGCCTAGTGGCTGGAAACGAACTTACGAAGTCGTGAATTTTACAATTTACCAAACTTGATTGTGTGATGGGCCTTCTCAAAGTCTTGGGTTGGGCTATTCTATTAGATAATAGGCCTTGTTACATTTCTTTTAATTCTTTTCATTTTGAATCAGCTATTCATAAAATGCAATAAATTTAAAAATTACTTTTTATACTACATAAAACATATTTAAGTTGAATATTATTTGATTTGTCTCAATGAGTAGTTATTAATATTAAGTTTAAAGATATTTATGGTTAAAGTAATGTATTGACAACAAAAATAGAAATAACTTTTAGAAACGAAGGGAGTATTGAATGGCCGAAATAGATGTATGGATAGGTAGGTTCATTGATGGTGAATAGAACATACTCCGTACCTTTTTATTTATTTTATGATTCTCATGGACATACAATACACAAATTTACTCCCTCAACTTATCTCTCTCCTTCAAATCTTGTTACATACCATTTGACCTATCTTTTAGCTCTCCTTCAAATGTGAGTTTCACCGTGTTAATTGGTACAAATTTGGTGTCATCTATGTTCTCAATGCAACATATTAAAATGGGGCAACACTCCAAGGCTACTTGAGATTGTAGATAGCTCCTTTCTAAGCTCTACAAATTACTAAAATACTTATCTCAAAAATGAGAAGAATATATTTCATACTTGTCATTTACTGATGTTTGTCTCATACTAAAGCACTACGTTTTTAACCATAACAATAGTAAATGAAACATAATATAGGTTATTTTTTTTCTTTTATTTTTTTGGAAGGCAAAACATAATATAGTTTTAATTGTTTGGTATTCTGAGTACAATTAATTAATTTTGAAAAATTGACTACTACCGTTGATATTATAATCTATTTTAGAAGCTAAACATCTTGCTAATAGAACAAAGAATTTAATAATTACAGTATCCCTTTGTCAATAGAGAGTTTGTCTCATTTAACTTCACTTATGTATGTACGCATCGCACCTTTCACTTTACCAATGCATGTAAATTATATTGCACTAATTGAATTCCACTAATAATCCATGAAAACCAACAAAACTATGCTGCAATTTTCTGTGACAATAATATGCCACCAAGAAGAAAATAAAAGGAAAAACAATACGCTTACTTCATAACTTCTAAAAATAAATATATAAATAAATAAATAAATAATAATAATAATAAAAAAAAAAAAAAAAAAAAAAAAAAAAACACGATAACTTCATAAATAGAAATATAAATGTACAATTAAAAATACCTTAAAACCTCGTAGTTCTGCCACAAATAATAATTTCATTATTTTAATGTTAAAAGATGCAAAAACAAGGTTTATTGGAAGATGGACTGATTTCTGTCTACGGCATCACGGGGCCGGTTAAAATAAGTGTGCACTTACTAAAATCACAGTACTATTCAAGCATAATTATTAATCTTATGTTTTGTCTAATTAATCATTGTTTCAAGCTTTCAAGTTAGTTGACTACTGACATGAGCAAGGTGTAATTCCAAACAGCGCAGGATCGTTTTGTACAAAGTCTATGCATGTTTGTTTATGTTGATTAACTCAGCATACTCTATAATTTTATTTAATAAGCCAAAATGTAAAGTTCGTTAGCACATGATGTATCATGCATTCATGCTTCATTGGTTTCTACATATAATACAGTATTATTTGAATTTTTGACACTATTTACACATTCTTATTTGATCACATATTGTGATCAATACTTAAAGATTAACTATATTCATATAGAATTTAGTTCAATTCGTCTCAATATATACTTTTCAAACATTGTTTCAACTCCAATTCGTATCATGTTTAATTTGACCCATATTGTGTTTTTATATTGTTGAGCTAGTTTGTTGTTTTTGAAGGTATTTGAATAATTGCTTAGAAGAATTAGAGCATTTGTCTAAATTGTTTTATTGTACTACTAGGACCCGTAATTTGATTGGCGAGGATTGATGGACCCTTCATAATAGAAACTCCAAGATTCCAAGAAATTTTATTAGTTGACTAATTTGAAATAATTGGTTGCTATCTTTGGATTTCAAAAGGTTTAAAATTTATGAAAAGAATGAGTTATTAAAAAAACCAAAGGGAATTGTCATTGCGTATTTGTGTTCAAACGCTATTTGATCTGGGAGGCCTACTAAAAGGGAAATCTCATGTTCTCAGCTTTCTAGCTGATTCAAAGTCAAAGTTTTTGTTTAATTTTTTTTGATTAAGTGTGATTCTTTATCAATAATTATAAGGAGTAGTATAATATATAGTGAAAGCATGGTATATGATAATACAAGGAAAAAAAATGTTAATTTTCTTTAATACAAATTTATCGTGGAACTTTTTATTCTTTTGAATGAAATGATGAGCAATTTTACTTTTAAGATCTCACAATATATAAGCCACACGGCTCTCATTCCTTGTATTACTAAGACCAAATTAGTGTAAAAGCATTACAATTTTTACATATTTTATGTAGTGTTGTAACTCTTAAACACTCAATACATATGCTTGAATTTTGATCAAGAGGACCCACCTAATCTAACTACTTTACCAAATTTTATTACGTAAGTTTATTGATCTGATATTCTGATGCCCATAATTAACCTGTTTCTTGATAATAATGCATGCATAACCATATATTATACTCCGTAATCCATTAAGAGTATTATTAGGACTCTTTAAGAAGCAATTAGGGAATATTTTAAGGAAGTGGTAGGCGGAAGGAGTTGATTAGTTACACTAGTTACTGTAGCTGTAGGTAGTGGTTAAAAATGGGTAGACAAAGTTAGCTTATAAGCTTAGCGGTTTTGTGAGTTGTTTATACCAAAAGCATGATAACCACTCCATATACAAACGTATTAATATATTAGTTGGTATATATAAATATCATAATCTTATTGGCTTAGTTTAAAATTGATACTCATTAGTTACAAAACTATACTTGTATATATAATTCTTAAATGACCTTAATTGTCCATGGTTTAGGAGGAGAAAAAATAGCAGAATAGTTAGATATGAGTTTTTTTTTTCTTTTTAAATAAATACATGTCATTCGTTTGTTGTACGTATCCGTTTAGTGATAGCGAGACAATTTGACAACCTTAAAACGAAGATGTAATATATGAAAGGATAACCAACTAATTTATCCACAATTAATCGTATTATGATTTATGAATTGATAATAACCGATTTAACGACATGTTATGCGTACAAGGTGAAGATTTATATTGAGAGGTTTTTAAATTCAAAATCTTATGATTGAGGGACCTTTAAACACATAAACTGTTCTCGTGTTATTTTGCTAGTGTGCCTGATTTTTATCTTCCAAGATTCAACAATGGTCGGATCCATTGTCCACCTTTACAAATAGTTAAAAATATGCCCATGCTAAACATTGTATGAAGATGGGGAAATTTTAGTAAACTCGCTTACTATTTTATGTGGAATTTTATATTGAACCATGTAGTATATTATACATAGACCTTAAAATAAAATACATATATAGCTCAAAAATTCATGCTCCTTGGTCAGAAACCTTTACATGCTGAACATGCAAGTTATCTTGTTTGTGGGTAATCTTCATTATCCAATAGGATTCATTGTCTTTAGCAAAAACCAGACAGTCAAATAGCTAAGTGAAATTGAATAGAGCTTAGCAAATCTAACCCTACTCAAATAGGCATTAGCGTTGACACAATTGTTAATGGTACCCAAAATTAACATAATCTTGACCTAACCCCAGCCAATTAAACAACTAAAAATGATTACTCGTGAATAATTTTGATTTAAATTGAAATAATTTAACAATTTACTTGAAAATGAGTTAGGAAATCTCACATCAACGTGAATATAACTCATACAAAGTCAATCAAAATCAAACTCGATCCAATTCAACCCAACATGTTGATTCGATTAGCAATTCTACATCCAAGGCCCAAGGGTGGTAACAAAACCAATACAAGTACGAAAAGTGGACTTTCAATTCCCTCAAGTGTAAAACCTGCAAGCTTCCAACTCATGTACTTATGTGACTATGTCCTCTTGCAAAATTCATTCAAAGATTCTCTCTTTTACACCACCACAATAAAAAGAAAAACACACATCACTAAAAAAACAGACTAGTAATAATAATTGTACACTAGTACAGTTACTACAATATTAATACTTGTACTCTTGTAGTATTGTACACCTTTTCTATATTTGGGTCATTCTTTGACCCACCCCTCTAAACCCCCCAACTCCTCCTCCATCATTATCACCAAACAAACAAACCACTACTCCTCCTCACACTTCTGGTTACCAAAACAACCTCACCAAAAACTCCTCCATTTCTTCAACCTCTCTTTTCTCCCTTTTCTTTCATTTACACCCCTTTCCCTCCTCCATGAGTTCAGAAGAGTTTACGACTCTCTAAAATGTCAAAAACGGCCCTGAACACGTTTTCCCCTCTGCTATTCGTAATCATTCTCTCCTTACAACTCGACCAGCTCGTTTCCCTCAACACAGATGGAACCTTCCTTCTTTCCCTCAAATACTCCATCCTCAACGACCCATTATCAGTACTCGACTCATGGGATTATCTCGACGAAACTCCTTGCACTTGGAGCGGCGTCGTTTGCACCCCTGATCAACGTGTCATCACCTTAGCCCTTCCCAACAGTCAGCTCTTGGGTTCTATACCGTCTGATCTCGGCCTCATTGAACATCTCCAACACCTCGACTTATCCAATAATTCCTTCAATGGTACTTTACCACCCACCCTCTTCAACTCTTCTGAACTTCAGCTACTTTCTCTCTCCTCCAATGAAATTTCCGGGGGTATTCCTGTCTTTTCACACTCTTCCCTGAGCTTCCTCAATCTCTCCGATAACGCATTTGGTGGGCCCCTTCCCGTTAATTTCACCTCTAGTTTCGATAATTTGACGGTTTTGTCCCTGAAGGGGAATTACTTTTCCGGTAATGTCCCTTCCGGTTTTCCGCATTCTATTGAAATTCTCGACCTCTCTTCCAATCTCTTCAATGGCTCGTTACCGGCTGATCTCGGAGTGGGGTCCTCTTTAAGGTACTTAAATCTGTCTAACAATAAAATCTCCGGCGAAATTCCGGCGGATTTTGCCGGAGATGTTCCGGGAAACGCCACCATTGATGTGTCTTACAATAACTTGACGGGTCAAGTCCCGGGGTCGAAACCTTTCATGGATCAAAACCCGGAGTTTTTCTCCGGGAATCAAGAGTTGTGTGGGAAGCCATTGAAGAATTTGTGTGTTATCCCTTCTACACTTTCCACCCCACCTAATGTCTCTGCTTCAATTTCCCCTGCCATTGCCGTGATTCCAAAACCCATCGACAACTCGAACTCAAACTCAGACTCAGACTCAGACTCGAACTCGGGTGGTCACAACAATGGTCTAAAACCAGCTGCTATTGTTGGAATTACGGTAGCTGATTTAGCTGGAGTTGGGATTTTAGGGGTTGTTTTCTTTTATCTTTATCAGCTAAGAAATAAGAGGGTTAAACAACAACAAAGTCCAGAAAAAGATTTCAATAATATTAGTAGTAGTAATAATAATCTTCCTCCAGGAAAGAAAGCGCCAACAACGTTAGGAAATGATCATTTCTTGGTTCAAATTAACAGTAGTGCAACAACAGTGGTTCCAAACAACAAGCTGCACAAAAAGTGTTTCACTTATTGCATCAAAGGAGGAGATCAAAGTGAAGAAGGGGCAACAACAGATACTAGAACAAGTTCGGAAAGCGAAAACGATGGTTCCGATGATGACAATGACGATCAGAAGAAGCGAGAGAATGGAGAGAAACCGAGTGATAGTTCCGGCGGCGGAGGTGGAGGAGGGGGAGGATCGTTGGTGATGGTGGACGGCGAGACAGAGCTCGAAGCCGAGACGTTGTTGAAGGCGTCGGCGTATATATTGGGTGCTAGTGGGTCAAGTATTGTGTACAAAGCAGTGTTACAAGATGGAACTACATTTGCTGTTAGGAGGTTAGGAGAGATTGCAATTCACAAGTTGAGGGATTTTGAAGGACATATTAAGGCTATTGCTAAGATTAGGCATCCAAATTTGGTTCTTGTTCGTGGCTTTTATTGGGCATCGGATGAAAAGCTTGTCATTTATGATTATATTTCTAATGGCAGCCTTGCTACTTCTGCTTACAGTAAGTTCTTTTCTCAATTTCTTCTTTTAATTTTGTTTTAGCATAGTTTGTTTATGTGGGTGATGCATGCAATTAGATTTGGTTTGTTGATTAGTAACCAATTAACCCAATCCGATATTAACCCGATGGATTGTTACTTGTTAGTGTGTTAACCACAACAGTTTACTCCGATTATGACCGCGGTGGACTTAATTGACCCAATGATATGTAAATTGGTCTCTATTCAAGTCGACCCTTGGTATGAACATGCTACACACTAATTAAGATTATTAAGGTGTTTTAATAGAATAAAAAAAAAAGTGTTTTTATTAAGGTATGGATATGATTTACCCTTTTAAATTTTGCATGGTCAATTTTTGGGTTTTTATTATGGGATGTAATGTTATCACTTTTTTTTGGGTTGTTTGATATGATGTTTTGACAAATGTGGTATCTTTGGGAAATGTTTTAGGTTAAATTGTTGTTAATGTGATTGTTTATAATGAGTCCAGCATAATTTGTCTTCAGATTAGGTGAATGACATTTCTTAGTGTAAATTTCTAGAGTGCCAAGTACATTAGCTCATAAACGGACTAAGAAAATCAGAGTTTAATGGGGTCATTTGCTAGAAAAAAAAAAAAGCCATTTTTTTCTGTTACAATTTGTTTTTTACCATAAAGCTAAGTAACTAACAATTTAACATGCGCCATAATGACATTGCTTTAGCGTATTTTTTTAATATGTTAAAATTCTTGTGACTTGCCTAAAAACCTGTGTAATTTGTCTAAAGTAGTATGATTGAATGATTATAGTCACAAATAATAGAAGCAACTAAAAAACAAACATAATTAGAGGTAGAATGGAGTGATGATCTAGTGTGAAGAACTATCGGTCTATCCAGTGTGTAGATTACCACTAACATTGTGTGCGTCTTTAAGGACCGTGTTTTTAGTGTTCTATATCAAAAAACACGGTGGATTAGGGGAGGAAAAAGGCCAAATACACCTAAAGACGAGAAACTCCTTTCTCATGGGCGTTTCTAGCCCACTGTCATATCATTTGTTTGGGAGCTATTGATGTTGAGAGTAAATCTTTGTTCTGCCACAACCATATGACAGATTCAGCAGTAGTTATACACTGATTTTAAAGCTGGTCCAGACATCCAAACAATAGATGAATACATAAAAAAAAAAAATCATAGAATCTGGGAAATTTCCTTCCCTTGTGTCACGGGCTAAATTCATAGATAAGAAAATATCATATCAAAATTTGGTCCATCAAGAAAACTACAGGACTTTGGACTCCATAATTTGATTAGTGGTGGCCTGGTGGGTCAGTTAATCACTTATGGAGTATTTGCTTCGCGCATTTTCTGAATAATATAGGAATGTGTTTAATGGAAGACAACTAGTTTAGTGGATTAAAGTGATGGTATATGAAAAATTGATATCAACTCTCGTCTATTTTGTACTCTGTAACTCTTAATATATACTGTAAGAAATTAAAAATAAAGAAAATATGTGTTATACAAACTGCAAAATGCTTTACTATCATAGCATTTTATGCATGCTTATTTTGCCTGTAGTTATACTCAAAGTGAACTCAATCAGCCAAACTTTTTGTTCTCTTCTTTTTTGTCGGTGGTATTTTTTTTCAACCATATTTTTGGTCAGAAAAGTTACAGGTACTCAAAACCAATGTACCACTTTAGTTTTATAAAACAATCTTCTTTTTTTTTTTGATACTTTCTCTTTCAAATAATGGATATTCATATAGCTAAGGAAAGGATTTAATTTGCTGTAAAAAGTACCCTATAATACATTAACACCACTATTTAAAAGGAGTTGTGTAAAGTAACTTTGATATCCAAATACATTCGTACCGAAGGAGAGACGAATAAGCATTAGTTTTTGTAGTTAGAAGAGGTCGGTTTAGGTAGTTTTAGTGTTTTACCGGTTTTGAAGATAGGGATTCCCTTATCCGTTCTCCTAATCTAGTCACTTTCAAGGGCTCTCACGATCTGAAAAAGTTAAATTAAACTAACACATGAGAGGTTTTGGTCTATTATTGGAAGGGATGTCAATGGGGCGGGTCAAATAGGAGATCCGCCTCATCCCCGTCCCGTTGGGGATGTGGAAAAAAACCATATCCGCCATGGGTGATGGGGCGGAGGTGGATTTTAGGTTGTACTCGTCCCATCCCCGCCCCGCCCCGCCCCACTTCGTACTCGCCCTATCCCCACATTTATATATTTTTAATAATAAAATTATATACTTTTATAATATTTTATAAAAAAAATTATGTAAAATAAATATAATACTTTATAACACACTTGTATTATAAACAAAAAAATGTGTAATATTAACAATAATTTTTTCTTTTTGCAATTATTATTAATTATGAAAGATTGTGTATTTAGGAGGCGTGAATTAGGCAGGTCTTAGGTGGGGATTAGGTGGGGGTGGGGCGGGGATGGTTTTGGAGTTGTACCTGTCGGGGCGGGGATGGATATGAAAATTTTAGGTGGGGATGGGGATGGAAAGACCAACATCCGCCCCGTCCCATTGACATCCCTAATTATTAGAGTCTTCATTACTATGATAGGATCTAAATTATGTGCTAAGGAAAGGGTTTAGCTTTATGAAGTGCTAAAACTTAAAAAGTACACTATATTTGAGCTTAATTTAAGGGAGCTTTGTAAAGTTTTTATGGTATTAATTGAGCTCTTTTCATGGTGAAATTTGCTTTAGTTGTGTCATCTTTTGTTGGTTTTGTTATATGCGCTTGCTTTTACTTTCACTAATGCATGCTTTTCATGTTTTGTTTATTTTTTTATCAATCATTGGCGAAAATTATAGAGAAGAGTGGTTCGACGCCATATCATTTACCGCTAGAAGCTCGGCTAAGGATTGCAAGAGGACTTGCTAGGGGATTAAACTATATTCACGACAAGAGATATGTACATGCTAACATCAAACCAAGTAACATTCTCCTAACACAAGACATGGAACCTATCATAAGTGACCTTGGGCTCAGCTGGCTTGTTTATGGTATCAACAAAGGAAGTGGCTCGGCTCGACAGTTTGGGAGCAAAAGATCCATGGGCTCGTATGACGGTACCCAAGATCTCTCGGTGAGTGGCAGCCCGTATATCAACCCGTTTGGAAATACGAACGGAGTTGGATCACCTTACCACGCACCCGAATCGTTGAAGAACCTCAAGCCTAACCCAAAATGGGATGTGTACTCATTTGGGATAGTGTTGCTTGAACTTCTAACTGGTAAAGTATATTTGGACAGGGAATTGGGCCAATGGACCCCAAGTTCTGGGCTTGAGGATAGATATTGGGTTTTAAGGATAGCTGATGTTGCACTTAGGGCTGAAATACAGGGCAAAGAAGAAGCTATGATGAGCATATTTAAATTAGGGTTTAGTTGTGCATCTTTGGTGCCCCAAAAGAGACCCTCTATGAAAGAAGCTCTCCAAGTCCTTGAGAAGGTCTCACTATCTTTTGTTCATTGATGTATTTTCTTGGACTATAAGAATTTAATATATAATTCCCTACCTCTTTTTATTTTTTTTTATGTAGTACAAGAATGTCCATCTTTTTTACTTGTCTTTTCACAGAATAGTGAAAAGGAGTGTGTGAATAGTTGATGCACGAGTGCTGTGTGAATTTTTACTTAAATTATGATTTATTTATTTTTTTATAAAATTAACTATTTGTAGTAGTAACTTTGTATTGTGAGGAAGAAAACAAAATTTGTTAATTCTGAAAGATTAAAGACTTACGCCTTATTGTATTTACTTTATCTAATATGAACTTATATAAAATTATGGGAGCTTATTTTATCTTAACTTATTTTGTTTGAAATTGACATATTTGTAATTCGATTTTTTTTGTCTTAATCTATTTGATTTATTTTGCCTGCACTTATTTTGTATGGATAAAATAAGTTGAACAAAAAAGGACCTTAAACTTATTTTATTATTTGCAATAATAACAAGGAAAAATACTTAGGTTTAGTGAGGATAACGGATAAGTGTTGGGCTCAAATCTGTTTTTAAGGTTGATGTGACTATGTGAGGTCGGATGGAGTATATATTATATATACATATAAAATATTTTAAGACCATATACTCTATCCATTTTTTTAAGTGTATCACTTTTCTAAGTCAACTGTATTTTTGGACATTTTCTCTTATTTTTATTATATCTTTCTCCTCACATGATTCCCTCTCCTACTTTTTAATTATTTCTCTCATCTCACATCCCTTATTTTTTAATAAACTATTACTCAACTATTTTTTTTTCAATAACATTTTTAATGTCCCAACAGATCCCAGTTACAAACTCACCTTCCTAAAACTATGTACCGGTCAAATTGATGCAATTAAAAAAAATGGAGGGAGTACCCTTCCATAAAATCATAGTTGTTCATAAAAAATTTCAACCATGCATAGACACTAGTTTATTCAAAATAATACGAAACAAACATAGTGGAGTATTTAAGTGTTTTGCGGTTTGGATGTAGTCAAGTTTAAAATTTGCCGAAAAGAAGTCTAATGCTGAGTACATTACTAACTAATATCGTGCTAAAAGAGAAAATAATGGTACTAAGTTAAGCAATACGTACCTAAAATATTGCAACTAAGCCAGAAAAATGAGGAAGTAGTTACTAATCCTCTACTTAAAACTGAATTGAATTGATGCATTTTTGCTGCCATTGTTTTAGAATAAAATTAAAATGTATATCAAACGCAAAATACCCACCACAAATTAATACATAACAATTTGTGTTCCAGGGATATTCTTTTTAATTATAGCTGCCCCTATAAGTATTCTGTAATGACATCTTGGCATAGATGAGGATCACCAAATTCTGGAAAAGCCTTGGGTCCATATATGTTAAGAAAGGTGATATTGAGCTGGAAAAGAACAAATCTTTCCATCTGATCCAAATTTAACCAAGGTTTCACATGCGCTCTTATCCCCGATAAATATTTTCTCCAGTAAAATTGTTGAGTGCTCAGGATCATAGGGACATACATACCAAGGCTTCATAGTTTCAGCTACTTCGAGATCATCATAAGCTGCAGCAAGCCCATCTTCTAAGCGAACAATGACCACTTCAAGATCATCAACATCTGCCTTAATCTCAGGATACCATGTTAACAGTGGATAATAAAGATCTTTACTTCTTTCAACAGAAAAAAAAATAAACAAGGACATTCTTTCCTTGGAGATCAGCCAGAGGAAATGTTGTGCTGCCTTTATAAACATAATTCTTTGACCCAATAACCAACAACTGACTCCCAAGGTCAGTCCATGAAGCCGCTTCAGTTCCTTTTGGACAAGGCCCTCCCTAGTGAACGGATAACCATCAATTCCGCGTCTGTGCAGGATTTCTCCACCATGCAGATCCACATATCTATTATCCGGTCCTACTATGATGAGCTTATAGTCATCACGACAGCCTGTATAATGAGTATCAATATGGGTACATATGTGTTTTTCTTCTTTAATTTCCATTCCCACACAATATTAGTTTAGATGTGGTATTGAATTACAAAGAAAAGCACATACTTGGAGATAAAATGGTATTACCATGAACCTTGGCAGTTGGCACGAATTTTGTGTGCAAAATTACAAACAATCTCATTACCATTACCGTGTTTTATTATTATATACCAACAATTAACAGTTTTGCCTTCGAAGCCATGTATGTAGCAATAGATGGCCGGTAAGAGGATTTTAAAATATCCTTCAAAGGTTTTGGGTTTTATGACCCAAGTTAAACGTGCATAGCCAAGCTGATGAAAATAATTAATGTCCAACCTCAACTTCCCTCTATTAAATGAATTGAATTCTAAGAAGAGATTAAGAGCGTACCCAATTATACATGGCTCGTCTTCCTTTCTACTCAAACAAATAGGCTCCAAAGGTTCAACAGCATTTCCTTGAGGGAGGATTCAGACTTGTTTTGTATAGATGGGATTTCCACCTCGTACTCATCACCAACTCTTGGATGCACCAATAATGGTTCTCCAAATATGTCATTTGAATCAGGTGAATCTTGGGAAAGAGAGGAATCCGAAATTGTTTCTGGCGAGCTTTTGTCCACTCGATCCATCTGCAACATGAGTTAGGAAGGTTACCACATAAATATCACAAAAGGCAAAGCAAAATGTGGGGAGGGGGGGCAAAGTGTGAGTGGTTGCATCCTCACAAAGACTGCTTCATTAAATCACGAAACAAAATCATTGCAACAATTTTTCTCATCATGTTGTGCACCGATATATGAGGAAAGAAGTCAAAATACAAGTACAGTTTATTTTGAATACTCAGTTCAATAATTAGATGCATAAAATCGTAGGCTAACCAAACTCATTTATCAGATGCAGAAATTCCATAGTTTCAGGTATTTAATAATAATATTCATGCTCTTAAGATTGGACAAGGTGGAGTCAGTTTCAGCTCAATTGTATCAATAACATAATACTTGCAAGAAATGGACCAAACTCGCTATAAGAAATAGCCGTATACCAGTATACAGATACCAATTTGCTAATAACCAACGGTTGCAAATCAACCAAAAACAAGAGCAGAGTTCATGAGAAGCCTGACACTTCTATCAGTATATTACACACGGCTTGGGTACCAAATGAAGGTTCTAATGTATATTGCTCCAACTCCTTGGTCCAACCCACAATACCAGCATTAAGATATAATCATTATAACGTGATGGTTGGAAACTTAGGTTTCAATGAAATACAAATGAGACTCCTTTAACCTATTGACTTCTGATAATCAGATCCACACCCATATGTTGCACTTTAACAGAACTCAATCTACTATGTCACTTCAGTAGTCATGCCGCTTCCCTATCTCAAATGATTTATGCATAACAAAATTTGATATAATATGATCAGGTTCAGCACCTAAATGCATATATATATATATATATAAACGTTTCACATCATGAACCATTCTGATCCAACATCTGATCAAGATATGTTTCTAATAGTCTCAAGTTGTCGAGGGTACATTCCTAGAACTCGACAAGCTACTGAAGAACCAGCGTAAGATACACATTCAGCAAATCTTGAATAATGGCCAAATAATAAAATAAAAAATAAAAATAAAAAAATTACACCCAACAAATTCATGATTTCTAGACATTGAAGCCTTCAGGGGGGGGGGGGGAATCATGTAGCAAAAACCTAATTGTAACCCACAGATTCTCTATCCTCTGGTATATCAAATCTGGATATCAATCAAACCCCATCCTTACAGTCTAGAATGGTAAACCCGGGACGACGATTCGACAAGTCGAGAAGTTCCAAACTTTCTCACTCCTCCTCCACCTCTCACCATTCTCTCTAGTAACATACCCGAATAGAGCAATTCTCTGCTCTAACAAGCACAAATTTGACAGCAAAAAACATTTATAACAACACCTAGATGTAAAACCAGAAACCAAAATTCCACAAAACCCATTAAACACTTCGATATCACCAACTAAAATATACAAAAATCCAGCATTTTTAGATCCATTTTTTCTGCAAAAGTTTACACAAAAACCACCCAAACACATAAAACAAACACAACAATAAATCAGTCTTTCGACTTCTCATCTCAGAGTAGGAGCCAAAGGAAAACAAGCATAAATCTTAATTCTATCCAACGAAACCAAGGAAGCTTTGCTCCCTCTCTCTGGCAGATAGTTCTTGAAAGGATAAAAAAACTTGCTTCCATTCTTGTGATCAATTCCAACCGCACCTGGAATAAAAATTAATCTTTACTCAAACAGAAGACAAAAGAGAAGACGACCACACAGCGAGGGGCCAGGAAATACCTCTGCATCAATAATAAAAGGCTCTGCGGAAGATTTACATGATTCCTGAATAATGCGCACCAAATCTGGGAAATTTGATGTCGTCTCATACTCTCATCCCCATCTCTTGAAAAGATGCGCACAGAACCATTATCAAGTTTGTATAAATGCAGAAACATTCGGAAAGTATTCAAAAAATAACCTCCAGGAATTCTATTTTCTTCTTCTTCCAAACTCTCATGGCACATCACAAGTAAATACTCAAGCTCTTCAACTACTTTGCGCAACAGAAGGTTTCAATGTTTTAATTGTATCTTTTATCAGGCTTTACATCAGCCCAATAAATATCAGATCGAGATAGGTCAAAGAAAAACCATGACGCACAAAGAACCTAAGACAACATTTCACACTTCCTGGTGCATTTAATATGAGTACCATATTTATCACAAAAACCCAAACGTATAATATATAGTATATACAGGAAAACATAAGCATCAGAATAATCTATACATTCAGATATGACAGTGGAGACAAGAAGCAATGACTCGTGAACAAACAAAACAAAATGGACTTAATTGAACCCACAGGTGAAAGCTTTATTCTGAAATAGCTTCAGTACTTGCACAACCCCAATAGTTATTCTGTCATAGAGTGAAAGCAAAACGCCAATAAATTACAAATAAAACATCGAGAAGCATAAGATAAAGGAAGTATCAAGGATAGGGCAAGCATGGAACCTATCAAGATAAAATTTGTAGGAAGAGTATTCTTTCCACAATCTCAATTAACAACCTACCAACAACGACCAAAACCTCCGATTTCTTCCTCACAAAAGTGGAACCTATCAAGATATTGTAAGTATCCTTATTTGGCAAGCACCTCCAAGACCCCATCAAATCAAAGACAAGGAACCGTAATCAAGATAGAAATTCGGTTTAATCATACAAGAAAAGGCTCACAACCAAACTTCATCTTTCAATGCAAGCCTAGAAGTGAATACATGAGCAATAAGTGGCCATCCAATTACACATGCAATTAACCAATTCTCTAACAATCGAACATCAACCCAAAATGAAAATACAAGCACAATATCAATCAACCCATGGCTTCCAAAATGAACATGCAAGCACAATATCAATCAACCCATGGCTTGGTTGGGTCTTCACCCAACACCTAGCTAATTAACTACTCACTAATCATAGTGAAGAACAATCTAACTACAATATCTAAGTTCAACATAAATCTAACAAGTTGAGAAAAGTAGTAAGAACAAGGTAGATTGAACATACAACAACAATTAAGCAAGATTAAGAAGGAAATTAACAATTCAATTAAAGCAATTAAAAACTGAAAATAAAGAGCAAGAGCTAGAGGAAGAAATTACTAATGAAGCCTCAAAGTTGAGAAAGTGTTGAAATTGAGAACACAAACTTCAATCAAACTACTTCAATTATTGAGTTTGGAGAAACTAAGCGAATTAATGAGAGTTTAGAGAGCTAACTAAGGGCCTAAAAAGACTAAGGGGAAGAAGATTTGTAAAATGGAAACCAAGAGTCGTATTTATACCCCCAAAAATTACATCGTAAAACCCGTCAAGAAAAATCGGGATTACAGAGAGGAGCGCCTGCTCCTAAGGCTGGAGCGCCCGCTCCTGGCCATCATGCGCGCCCACTCCTGACTGCATAGATTGGGGCAGATTGCTGGAGCTCGACTAGAAGCGCCCGCTCCTTGTAATGTAGGTGAAAGTCAGTTTGTGGCAGCTCGAGTAGGAGTGCTCGCTCCTCAAAGGGTGCACGCCCGCTCCTGGCTGGGAATTGAGAGAGGTAGATTGTGGCGTTTAGGCTAGGAGCGCCCTCTCCTAGGGGGCTGCATGCCCTCTCCTCTTGTGTTTTGTTTCGAATATAGTTCTTCATACTTATGCTATATAACCAATTTCTAATTGCATCTACAAACATGAACATACACATAAAAAAGATCGGGGAAGCCAAAAGTTGTAATCATACACTAAAGGAGATAAAAAGGGATTAAAGAGGGAAAAATAACTACAAAATTATGTCAAAAATACCATGATAAGTGGATAAATAAAACACTTATCAGTAACCCATATAAAATTGACATATGACTATATGAGAATTTGTGTGTTTTTTAACCTTGTATGTAATTATCACTTATCACCCTCTCTTAAGAAATTTTTTAAAGAACATTATTTAAGTCATGATAATACTAGTGCTACGATGTATATTTCATATATGAAATCATGCCTATAGAAATTTTATAAAGAACTGGCTTAGAATAATACCAGTGCTACGATGTATATTTCATATATTTATTAAAAAAAAATAATAAATAAAAAATTAAAAAAAATGCCTAGTTAGGCTCAATGATAATCATTAAATATATTTTCAAATGTGTTATGGAGTAGTTTAATACTTCGTACTGTTCTTGACTTCTTGTTCACATAATCACGCCAAGTTAATTTTGCGAAATCAGTCCAAAGACTTAAGTATGCAATGGCAGCTTAGATGGTTTGGTAAATGAAAATACTTGGATGGTGACATGGTGTTCTGTACTTAGGAATTAAGGTATATATACCCATCATTCTACGTACTAGGCTATGTATAGTTCGGAAGCAGTTGGGTTTTATTTTCGAAATCACGGATTCAATTGGCACGGTTACTAAGAGAATTGAGCTTAAGGACCTCAAAGGCCAAGAAATATTCTAAACATGTAGTACTAATACGAAGCTTAACACGATTATATATGACCTGATATTTGGCCAGCATGAGCCGATCCGTGCAGGCCGTTCACTGTACCCCCTTGCTGCCTATATAATACTTCGTACGGTCTATGTTACGAAGTATATATGCAGAGATTGACAATGATTTCCACTTAGGATTTGTCAGTGTTACTTCCCTTGCTTATATATGTAGCGAAAACAAAGGTGCTGCCAATAAATTGCATAATCTATCTAGTATCTACACACTAGTAATATTGTAAAACTTATTTAATTTCAAGACAATGCAGGGCAATCAAAACACATAGATAAATCTTACTGCAATCTAAAGACATAGCACACGACGTACTACTACTGAAGTAAAAATTTCCCTTTGTGAATCATGGACTGATATAGGATCTGCATAAACCTTCTGCTAGCCGTTTCTTTGCTCAATGATCACCTTATTATGCCGCTAAACACCACCGTGGCCACCCACCATTGATATAATACTAAACATAGACACAAAAATAGGCATCGATCGACTTACCAATTAACTACATTAATTTACTAAGAAGCCAATGAGGAGGGGGCCAGAAAATCTTGGCGAATGGAGCAACCTCTTTTCTCTTGAAACCAATTTTTGAATCTTGTAAACGGTAAAATGCCAAACAATCTCCAAAATATTTTTCACCGGACCACTTTCCCTGTCCTATCTTGTCATCTATTAAATTTTCATCCACGCTAAAGAACCGATGAGTGCGTAGACCGTAGCTATGATCATATGGCAAAAGAACATAGTTACCTTCAGGCCAGCCTAAACCTTCCACCGCGATAGAAAAGGTCACATACTCACTAACATAGAAAACATGATCTTCTATGTTCGAGACCACCTTCCAAGTGCATATCTGATTATTATTTTTCCCACTGTAAGTCTCCAACTTACAAACTCCAACAACACTGGGTCGCTTGTGTTTTTGTAAAAAAACATGTTCTTTATAAACTAAGTAAAGCTGTCCATTCAATTCAACTAAATATGATAACAAGTCCAAATCGCAGTCCAAATCTAACTCTACTGTGATCAAATCCCTTACCTCGTAAGTCGTGGGATCAATCATTATTAACTTTGCTTCCCTGGTTATAGCATAAAATTTACCCTCGAAATTGATAATATCGGAGAAATGACCATTGTTTATTACTTCTTCATCTTCATGATATATAATCTCTATAAAAGGATCTGGTATAATACTCCATTCGGCTTCGCCTGGCCTCCACAAACCCAACTTTCCTACTTCAAACAAAACCAATACGGTGAAATCATCATCCTTTTCTTTAGAATTATTATTCCAACATATAACTGCTTTAGCTTTTCTCGGGTTTTGTTCATTGGATCTACCATATTCAAACCAATAAGACTTGGTTATTTCCTTGACATTGCAATCGATCATATCGAAAGATCCTCTACGCAATGTAGGGTGCTCGAATGATGCAGGCAGCGTAAGCAACGGGTTTTCTAGGTACAATATACTCGATTCAGCCCGTTGTTCAACCTTTACAATCCAACCACTTTCTTGGCGTTCTACACCCGGAGGAGGGGGAAATAATAAAATATTGCTTCGCGAAAGGTATGCAGTCGTGAAAGGTACATTGGAGCGACTTTTTGAGTATAAGGAAGAAGGCGGCGGTGGGAGTTTAAGAGGAAACCGAAGAGGTTTCTTTAGGGGCAAAAGAGAAGAGCGCCATGAAGTGCAAACAGAGCGCATCCTTCGAAGCTCGAACTCGTTGTCGGTGTTATCATCATCGAGGTGTTTGTAAATCTCGAACAAGATATCGCTTCGAAGATTTTTCAAATTCCCTTGATTTTCATATGCAAATTCATCTTCCCTTCTTCTTTTAGGGGCCATCTTTGAATCTTTGACTCTTTGAGAGGGCGTTTAGGTTAAATTGAATGGTTGAGAAGGGAGGAGTTCAATGGTTTGATACTTTGATAGATAAAAAGATAGGTGATTATCACTTATCACCCTTTACGGAGTAGGGCTTTTTCAAAGTGTGAGATGGTTGAAAATATGGACTTTTATGATAGCTGTCATTTAATATACCGAATTATACATTTTTTTTTGGTGTTTATCAAATTATATTATTATTTTTTATTTTTTTTTGGACGAGATACATTATTATTATTATTATTATTAAAATTATTATTATTTCTACAATTTCATATTTTTTAAACCCTTAAACATTCAGAAAAATAGTAGGTCATTAACTCATTATCACATATCACTTTTTTTTTTTTTTTTTTTTTTTTTTTTTTTTTTTTACAAGAAGAAAAAAAATTTCATTAATGAAAGATAGTCAAACGACACTAATAAATAATTTCTAAAAAATCTAAAATTCCAATCCAAGTACAAATTACCTTAGAACTAGTTCCATTGCAGATTCGATCAACGATCGCCTTAATAAAAAACTTTATCCGAAATAATACAATATGTGAGTTAGCACGAATTCGGCTTGAGATCCACGGATGAATAGTTGTTTGGGTGATAAACTTCATATGGCCTTCTAGATACTTTTGGAGATTATGAAACCCTAAATCTTCAATCTTTGACAGACGAATAAACAAAGAAATTAAGCCTAATAGGATAATCATCATTATAAAGATGAGATCCATTTATTGAAAGCAATTAAGTTTTTTGGGGCTTACCACCAGTAAAAATACCAGTGGAAGCCCCCACAAAAACTTACAATTCAGAGCAGATGAAAAGAGATGAAAGAGAAAGAGAGAAGAGTGAAAGAACACTTTAAAAAAAAACAAAAAAAATCTAGCAATGAAAGCTAGAAAAACCTTCCCAACCTAGAGGGAACCAAAAAACTCTCCCCACATATCACCCTTTGTTAAAACACTAAATTTGATTTTATTAGCAAAAAAGAATATGGTTTAGAATACTACGACTAGACCTGATTATTGGGTAGAGTAGTCCAATGATAATAGGGCTAAAGCCCAAACTTAAAGGACCTTTAATGGATAGGATCTTTAATGGACATGGACTTTATTAAGTAACGTCTATATAGGGCCAACGTATTTGTCCAATTTAATAAAAATAAAATAGATATTGTATAAAAATATACTACGTATATAATTATACAATATTACCTAACTACCCACCCAATATAATGATATAGGACAATAAAGGAGGTGCCATTAGTCCATTTACCTTATCTGTTCACATCATATGGATACAAGAAGTTTTATAAAATAGGAACCTGAAATAAAAGGAAAATTATCAACGGTGACCCCGAACTTCTGCTACGCACTAATGGTGACCTCCTTTTTTTTTATTATACAAAATGACCTTAATAAAGAAATTTATCTCACTCGTGACATTAATTAGTGTTATTTAGTTAAAATAACACTAACTATGATTAGCTTTGAAAAAAGAAAAACCACTAACCAAACCACCACCTCCACCCTCATCACCACTAGATGTAGCCAGCACCGTCTCCACCCTCACTGGAGCCACCTAACCCCCTCATCTGAAATACCAACCTCCCACCCAAACCGCCAAACCATCGCCTCCATCCTTTCCTCCGCCTAGACCTTCGACTCTGACCTTCAATTCTCACCCAAGGCGACCCTAACCTCACAACTCTATCTCCTCTGAACTTCGATTCTCGCCGCTTCGTCGTGAGGTTTCGATTCTGGGTGGGGATCAGAGAAGGCGAAAGAAAAAGAGAGAGAGGGTGGAGGAGAGGGCGGAGAAGAAAGAGATAGAAGGAAGATCGGTGGTCGTTTCTAGGTAATTTGGTGATCTAGGGTGGTCGATGTTTGGCATCGGTGGTCTGGGGGTGGTCGAGGTTCTAAGTTCGGTGATCTGGAAGTGGTCGGGCTGGTCGAGGTTCTATGTTCGGCGATCTAGGGTGGTCGTTGTTAAGGTTCGGCGATCTGGGAGTGGTCGGAGTGGTCGGGGTTCTAAGTTCGGCGATCTGGGAGTGGTCGAGGTGGTCTCATTGGAAAAGGAGATGGTGGCTGGGCAAGTGGGGGTGGCTCCAGTTACAAAAATTATAAGTAATATCTAATTACAAAAATTATCTTTTGCGTAATTTTAATATTTTATGTATAAAAAATCGTGCATCGCATGGACTTTTATCTAGTTAGCTAATAATTTAAAACTTATATAAAAAAAAAAAACCAAATTAACCCCAGCCACCAACACCAATCCGGCCACCTCCACCGCAAATTACCTCCCCTACCACAACCACCTAAAACACCAACCTCACCACAACCACCTGACCCAACATTATCCCCACGCTCACCCCCTCAACCACCAACTTGAACCGAAACTCCAACCAGAACGGCAAAATTGAACCTTATCCTTTTCTCTCCTCTCTTTCCCGACACAAGCCCACAACATGAACCGAAATCTCCCTCACTTGTCACTAGCTGAACCGAAACCACCTGATACCCAAAACCTTTACCCCAACCTTAACCGAACCACCTTTACACATATCTGGGTAGGTGCGGTGGTTTCGGGTTTGTGGGATTTGGACGAGGAAAGGGGTTTCGCTGGCGGAGTGAGCGGCGGGAGGGTGGTTGGGATGGTGGGGTGATTTTTCTATTAATTAATTAATAATTTTGTTTATTTTTTATTAAAAAAAAAATACAGTACATTTTTATAAATATTTTATTTTTTTTTTTTCCAATCACATGTCAATACGTGTTAGGTAACTTGTTTTAACAAGTAAGCTAGCTGGTTGAGACCATTTAAAGCGAATAAACATCAAAGTTCGGATAAATAAAAAAATAATCAAAAGTTCGGGATTATTTTAGGCTAACGAGGCAAAATTTAGATTATTTAAGGCAATTTTTCCTAAATATAATTATTCAAAGTTAAATATTGACAATTACATCCGTCAAAATGAGACATTTATTTGAAAACTGATGGATTAACTGATTAACTAAAATTTTTAGCTAGTTAATTGATAGAAATAGTTGATGTAATATATCCAAAATTAATTACCCAAATTGGCCAAATATTGAAATACTAATTGTAACTGTGATTAGATTAATCAAAAAAAAAAAAAAAAATTGTGATTATATTAGCTTACAAAGAACGCACAAATACCTTTGGTGGCTAAAGCTCAGCCTAGCAACGTGCTGGACCAGCACAAAATTTAATATTCAATTAAATGCTCTTGGCGGGCCCTATCTTGTATAGGTGTATGTATTTGTACGTATGAACTTGTATTCTCCAAATGTATACGTGTTTGGCGCACTTTCCAAGATCGTTACAAATAGTTGGTCCGTTATTTTGCAAATGGGGTTGATTTAATTCATCCACAGAAAATCTAGGGTTCTTGGTTCAATCTCCATTTTCTTTCTTGGGCTACTCCATTTTCTTTTGAGCTGCGCTACTGTTGGTCGTTTGGTCTAATCTCCATTTTCTTTCTAGAGCTGCTCCATTTTCTTTCTTGAGCTGCGCTACTGTTTTTCGTTGGTTTTTCTTTCCCACTTTCTTTAGCTCCCATCTTGTTCTCCGTTAATTGTGAGCTGGATTTGAGAAATTGTGGTGGAGCAACGACGATGAGGTCTTTCAATATCAAAGCAATGGAGCTGTTTGAGAGTGGATTGTCGGTAATTAGGTAAGTTCATCGAATCTAAGTTAGGGATTAAATTTGATTCTTGAAATTGTGCATATTTAGAACTGGTGTTTGGAATGAATAATAATTGTAATTTTGGATTTGTAACATTTATTAGCTTAGCAGGTATAATTCAATCAAAGTGACACAAATGACGTTACTTTTATTTACATAAATGACAATATTGGTCAGCTAATGGGTTATTAATTTTGCATTTTAGAATGACGTGTGACAATTGATAATATATTCTACTTAAAATGACAATATAAGACATACAAATGCCAGTTAAGTTGGAAATTATAGTTGAAGGACTTTAATATTAGGGGAATCATGGATTGTTTTTATACATACATGGCTTTTTATGCATGTGATATATTAAGATTAGCTGTTAATTAAGTATGTGAAATTACAGTTGATAACATGTTAAATGACAGAGCTAATATTCAAGGTTGAGGCAGTGATGGTAAGTGTAGAAGTTGTAGAAGATATTTCTGTGTCATTGTCGGAAGGTGGTGTAATGGATCTGATAAAATTTGAGGAAGTGGAAGGGGCTGGTGATATTGGTGAATTATGTCCATATGAAGGTGGAGAGGAAATGGATATGGATGGAGGTAATCTGGTGTATTTGAACAAAGTGAAAATAGACCCTCCTAAAGTGGGAATGAATTTTGAAACATGGGAAGAAGCAGATGTGTACTATAATGCTTTTGGGAAGCAAGAACGGTTTGGTGTTGTTCTTGGTCAGAGTGCATACAAGACTTTGAAAGATGGTCGCAAGGTTAAATGTGTCGTGACATGGAAGTGTGAGTGTGCAGGTTGGCCAGACACCCGAAGGAGGATCAGGGGAAAAAGAGTAGCTAAGGAGTTAGCAAGGGAGGCGGTTGCTATAAAGAAGTTGAAAAAATGTGGTTGCGAAGCTGGAATGTATGCTGGTTTAAAGGAACATGGTAAGTGGGAGATAACAAGAGTGGAGTTGGAGCATAAACCCCATGTTGTATCACCTTCCAAATCAATGTTGGTGACAAAATATAGGTTGGATGAGTTAGAAAGGATGCCGTATATGAAACTATATGAAGTTGTTAAAATATGAAATAACTACATATGGGGGGTCATTTTGGCCTTCTATGGGTGTTAGGGCAAACAACTGTAATGATTAGGGCTGAACTGGAACTGATCTGAATAGAGCTGAAATGAATTGAATTTGTTATGAGAGAAGGAAACTAGGAATTGAACTGAATGAAGTGAACTGATTTGTACTAACTGAATTGAATGAATTGAACTGAACTTAATGAACTACACTGATTGGAACTGAACTGTGGAGTTGAACTGAACTGAGCTGGATTGAATTGTTAATTGAAATTAAGCTGAACACAACAAGCCCTGAAATTTGTTTAAATGTAGTTGATTCTTGGGTTGAATTTCAATTAGGATTGTTAATAATGTTTGTCTTGACTTTAATTTAAGATTGTTAAATGCATTTCACTTTATATTAGATTTAAGTAGGATTGCTAATTGGATTTGTCTTTCAATTAGGATTGTTAATATTGTTTAACTATAATTAGGATTGTTAATTGTCAATTAGGAATGTTAATAGGGTTGTTGATAGGATTTGACTTTCAATTAGGATTGTTAATAGTGATTAACTATAATTAGGATTGTACATTAATTGTCAATTAGGATTGTTAATAGTGTTTGTCTTGACTTTAATTTAAGGTTGTTAAATGCATTTCACTTTATATTAGATTCAATTGAACTTGTTGTCAATGTATATGTGAAATATTGTCCAATTCACTTTTTTATTCAAAGTATGTTATGTCATTATAGGTTTTTTTTTTTTTTTTTTTTTTTTTTTTTTTTTTTTTTTTATGTTTGTAGTCTACTATTACTGTCATACCTTTAAACTTATTTATTTCTTCATAATTGAGAAATCTCACTAATTAGTGATATCATAATCCTCCCATCATGTTCCTAATTTGCTGAGTTGGCCCTCCACTTAATATTTTGGGCTCTTGAGCTAAATCTATGTAGTTCTTCTAGAAAAACGTTCATCGGTTCCTTTTTGTTTTTGAATGAATGTGATTGGCCTATTTTGGGAGGTTTGGATTGATGACATGGACGATTGGTTTTGGAAGGTTTGGATTGATGTAGTAATTAATTTTGAATTAATTAAGATGTAATTCTTAATTAAATGTTTATTAATTCTTAATAATTATATAAATAAGAATTACAACTTAATTAATTATAAACTTAAAATTACAATAACACTTGTGTATCAAACAGTTACATTTCCACTTGTGTATATAAATAACTTGTCATAATTAAGTTGTTATTGTCATTGTTAAATTATTTATTGTCTTACTCTTATTAAATATTGTTATTATCATACCGTTATATGTTATTATCATATGTAAAATAGGTATGGTCTTTATTATAAAGTTATTGTCATATCAAAAAACCTTGTCGCCGGAGACCCGAACTCAAACCTTGAGAAGCTTAGCTGCTGAGAGAATAGAGAGAAGAACGTACCGCCAAAACTTAAACGAAAAGGGAACTATAGAAAAATGAATAACGGAAAACGGAGTGAAACCTTTTAATATGTGTATAAGATATACATACATTGTATTTGCATGTTGTATTTTCTACATTCATTAAGGATAAAATTCCAATTATGCCCCCGTGCTGGTCCAGCACGTTGCTGGGCTGAGCCAAGCTCTACCTTTGGTAGTTTTGAAGTATTTGACCCAAATTCTTCCCTTTCCCCTTCAATACCATTTCTCAAAATCCTGAAATTTACAGAGATGACGATCTCCCACGAAACTGAGAAACACGATGAAGAAGGGCAATGGAAAAATCTGACCAACGACATATTAGCCTTGATTTTGAAACGCCTCAATATGAAAGCAGATCTCTGCCGATTCCGCTCAATCTGCAAATCATGGCGATTTTTCGCTACTCCGATTCAACCCCACCTCATGTTCCCTCTCATTCTTCCTCCTCTTCACCCTAATGCCCGTCCTTTCTCTCTCTCTCCTGCTCTCATTTACATTATCTCTCCCCAATTTACCCACCATAATCACAACAACAGTGTCTGGCTTACCAAAGTTTCAGAAACAGGGGAAAACAAGTGGGCCCTCCTTAATCCTTTGACGAAGCATAAATTGTATTATTATTCATCTGGGGTTTTCAGAGGGAGGATTAATTTGCTGGGTTTTCGAAATCTTGAGGTGGGTCGGTCGTATCGGCTTCAATTGATTAGCGATCATGGAGATGAAGATACCTTCGATTTTGAGGAATTTAGCTCTTCGATTTCTTTGAGAAAGGTTGTTGTTCGAATTGGGGAGGAAATTTCTGTATTGGGTTTATATGGGTATGGTCAAATTGCGGTTTGGAATTCTGGGGATGAAAATTGGAAGATTATTGAAACTGGGAAGAAGGAGAAGAAGAATGAATTCGATGATGTTATATGCTTTGATGAGAAATTCTATGCCGTTGATCGAACCGGGAGGTTGGTGATGATTAATCCGGCAGCTCGGGAGCTTGTTGAGGTGGTTGGCACGTCAACGGTAGAATGCAATGGTCAGTATACTTATTTAGTAGAATCTAATTTTCGTTTATATTTGATTAATAAGATTGTTAATCCAATGCCTACTAATTATTATGATGATGAAGAAGAAGAGTGGGTTGTGGATAAAATTAGTGTAGGAAAGCCTCTTGGCTTTAATGTTCTTGTGTTGAATGAGAAGGAAAAGTGTTGGGAAAAAGTGAGGAGCATAGGAAACAATGTGTTCTTTGTTAGTCGTGATGCGACGTTTTCGGTTTGTGCTAAGGATTTGGGATGGAGTAAGGGGAATTGTGTTTATTTTGAAGGTTTGACAGGTTATGATGATGAAGCTGATATGAGTTTTGGGTTGAATGCTGGTGTATATACCTTGGAGGATGGAGCTATTTTGACCTTTGATTCATCGGTGGGTCGTTGGACTGGGATTTTCTGGCGGCCTTCGAGGTGGTTTGTGCAACACATGGAGTACCCTGAATGTGAAATGTTGGGTTAAGTCGTATGTTGGTTAGTGATACCTTCAGCATTATTTTGCCTTCTATAAATAATAAATGGTATGCTCTTTTTGTAATGAACTATTGATAACAACGAATAATAGCAGTTGAGATTACATCTTACATCAATGATTGCACCTGGTTATCACTGGATTTTTCGAACGAATAGTTGCTTCAACTCTTGCTTTTGTTATTTGCTACTATGTACTCCCTTCGTCCCCTTTTGTTTGTTATTTGCGACTATGGATAATATTGTGATTTTTTCCTGGTGTTTCATGATCAAATTAAAAATCTAAAGCTCAATACTTTAAAGTCATTGGTGTTTTATTTAGCTAACAGGACTGAAAACTGCCTCTTTCCGTTGGTATGTAGATCTTAAACTAGCATTAATCTTGGATTTCAATGAAGATGCCTTGAGTTTTAATGGTACAAATAGGATCAGCTAAATGGTTGTGTTTCTTGGATCAACACCACTTTGTTGTATCCTTCTCTTTGTTTAGTAACTCGGTTATAATTTTAAGGCTACATTTATCTTTCTCTAGTCGGATTGACCAATTTCAGTTTTCTGATCACATTTTAATTAAGCAAAAAAAGCCTCGTCTTTCTGTGTAATACCTGTTTTGCCTGTGGAAACAGGGTTTCACTTGATTTAAGTTTTATTAGATATCATGTTTCTTAAAGATCAGTCTCTTTTGGTGTCCCTTGGACCTTGGTATGGTAGTCTTACCATTTCAGCTGTTGCTGCATTACCTTATGGTCTAGTACTCTATTGTTTTGACTCTATTTACTCTACTTGGTGTTTTGAAAACAAAAGACCTACCTTTACTTTGAATGCGAGGAAAGTTGTGCTTCTTTAGACAGCAAGGGGGAACTGTTCTGTTCTTTTTTTTAGCAGAGTTTTTAATCATGCGCTCTAAGCTTTCAATAGTTGTTTTACGATACTGATTTCCTTCAAAGCTTCTTGGTGGCCTGGTGTATATTTTATAAACCAGGACATACAGGGTTATTCACTCATGACGAACTAGGAAGCTTTTGATAATGCCATAAAGCTTTATTGTTTGATCAAGCTTCAAGCCCAAAATACCTGATGTTGGTTATTTTTTACCTTAAGCATTATTTTTTCTGTGGCTAGTTGCAGTAAACCATTGATAACAATGAATAGAATGTTAATATCTCTCACTTTTTGTGATTACTTGATGATGATACTACATTCTAAAATGCCAGGAGAACTATGAGTATTTAGTTCAATTGTGAATTTTATTGTTAGTCTTGCCTGATGTAACTGTATTGATTAGTTGCCTTAACTCTTGAATTTTTGCTTTTTATTACTAAAGTATGGTGCTTTCCTGACACTCGGTAGTTTCATGTTTTCCTATGGGATATAAATTTTGTAAAATTGATGGCCCTATTGGTGTTTTTGATATCAAACAGGAGTGAAGATTATCCTCTACCATGGCAGTGTGTAGCCTTGTAGATATTAAATTTGCATCATTGGTTTGATCAGTCATAAAATGCTTTGATGAGGGATTTTTTTTTGTTGGATAAGCTATGTGGCTGTGTTTCTTGTGTCAAAGACCATTTTATTTGTTGCATCCTTTCTTTGTCTTTCTTGAAGTTTTCTTTGAGTTCAATGATTATTGTGGTCGATTCTGTAAAACTTTTAGACTGTGTATCTTTGTCATGTTGGATGGGCCAATTATCTTAATTGTAGCCTCATCCTTGGTCTTGAGTTTAAACTAGACTAGATATATCTTAATTTTAAAACCATTATATCTTTACTCCAAGTCTGAACAAGAGGAAGGTTGTGCTTCTGTTGTTAACTTTGTAATAGGGGAAAATTGTTCTATTCTTTTGCTGGATTTCAGGATTTATGCCCTGAACTTTGAAAAAGTTGAATGTGGATTCTGATATTCTTACCAGTGGCAGTGGGGTGGTCGTATGTTGAACAATTGAAGCTATATCAATATCATCCAGGATATATTAAGCCAATTAAGGTAAGTCATAACTATTACGCTTCTGATAATTTGCAATTTTTTCAAAATTTTCTTGTGACGAAAGCTGTAAGCTCAAGTTCTTTGCAATGTATAAAAGGGTATGAATTGCTCTATTGGGGTTAGCTGGAAAAAATTGTCTCTTCTTTCAATTTCAGTTCATTTCTTATGAAGTGCTACTTGACTCATCAGCTAATTGTGTCAAATGGGTAGTCCCATCTGTCTAAAGGCCAACCTCTTCAAAATATTGGGACTTGGGAGTTGGCTAGCAAACTCAAGATGGATATTATGACTCACAAATTTAGTTGGGCCTGGGCTGGCCCTCTTTATCATTATACAATAGTTATGGGCTAAAGCCCAATTTTCTTTTTCTTTTTTTTTTTTTTTTTTTTTCTTATAAAAATTTTCCGATTACTTTGACTAAGCCTTGCTAAACCCCAGAGCTTGAGATTGAGCAACAATGGCGGAATTTCCGACTGAAATAATCACCGAAATTCTGTCGCGGTTACCAGTAAACTCATTACTCCGCTTTAAATCAGTCTGCAAATTCTGGAATTCCTTAATCAAATCCCCCAATTTCATCAAAACTCATCTCAATCAAACCCTAATTTCGAACTTTGATCGTTATCTCCTCAAATCATCAGCAGATTCCTCTTTTTTCATTTCCAAGCTCGACCTCCACAATAACCAATTCTCCTTCTCGGGACTCGACCACCCTCTCGAATACGAGGAAGTCGAATTGTTTGGTTCCTGCAATGGCGTCATTTGCATTTCTGATTACGCCATAATCGACGTATTCTTATTCAATCCTCTTACTAAATCATATCGTAAACTCCCTGTCAAACGAATTCCGAACCCAGAACGTGATTTTGTGTTGTTCGGATTTGGGTATGATAGCAAAAACGACGATTACAAAGTTTTGAGGATTCTTCAAGGGTATAGTTATCGCAAATGTTGTTATGATGAAGTTCAATTGTATAGTTTGAACAACAAGTCATGGAAATCTGTTCAAGGTATTCCGCATCCATATTATCTCCCTTTTGCTGATTGTCATGGTGTTCTTGTTAATGAGGTTTTACATTACATTGTCAGTTCTGATGAATTGGAATTGCAGCAATGTAAGATGATTGCTGGTTTCGATCTTCGGACCGAGAGTTTTTCGCTTATTGACTGTCCCATTCATGATGAAAAGACAAAGACTTATTGGGACTTTTTGGAATTTCATTTGAGGGAATTGGGTGGGTGTTTATCTGTTGTGGTAGCGTACCTTACTAGAGATTATGCTTGCATGATGCCTATTTTGCATAATCGTGAACTTGAACGAGCTGATTTGTGGATAATGAAGGAGTATGGAAACAATGAATCCTGGGTTAAACTGTTTAGTGTTTGTAAGCTGCCTAATATTCGGAGATTTGTTGGTTTTACCCCTGTTGTCTACTCCAAAGATGGGCGACAAATTTTGATAGTGATGGATTGTTTGGAGGCTGGTTGGTATGATTTAGAGTCCGGGAAATTTGAGAAAGTCACGGTTCGTGGGCTGCCTGATACTTATTTCGACACTGGTTATTTCGTGGGCAGCCTTGTTTCACTTGAATTTAAGCCACAGCCAAGTGAAATTGTGAAAAGGAAGAACAAAAACAAGTAAATAGTCTAAACACTAATAGTTTTTTTAAATATAAGTGCTTATCCTGTGTCTTATGACTAGTTTGGTTCCTAATTGCTTCAGATATAGATCATAGATGGAGAAATTCCTAATAACTTATTGTCCATGTTTGCTAGGGATGTCCATTGCTCTCACCAAGATGAAAGTCATTAACATGTTAGATTTAATAATGTTTAGGTAGCTGGTAGCATACTTTAAGTGAATTTCATATGCTGTTATCAGAGACTACTCTAAATTGTTGTGTATAAGATTTTTCTAGAGTCTGGAATTCTAGAATGCAGAGGCCACTAGGTGTCTAGGTACGCTACCCACGTTCCCCTTATTGTTTAAATTGGAGATATTCATTTCTGTGATTTCACAGTGTTTCTTCAACGTGAATCCTATCATAACTTGATGTAGGATATGGCCAGTATCTCCTTATTGATAGATAATTTTGATCTTTAACACCTATGAGTAATAAGATTATGTCAATTTTTATTCTTATTATTATTTTGTTATACTCTGTATTTTAAAATTGAAACTAAATAAATCATGTTAAGTGATTTTGCATCTATTTAGTAAGCATTGTTATTATCTTGGAAGTGCCATATTATATGCAGTGCATAGGACTTAATTCACACTCTGAAGCTCTGCATTCTTTTCTGCAGTAAAGTTTCAGATACTTTTCTTGCTAAGGGTTTCAAGCTGAAGCTATGAGCCTATTGTTTATGCTGGGAGTTCAGAACTATAATATGTAAGTATTAAAGTTATCTTGTTCAGTTGCTTCATTACCCTGTAGTATCCTTGAAGGTCTTGACTAAATGACTTTGAAAAGAATCATAGTGTTCTTTGTTGGATAAATTTTGCCTAAATAGAAAACCTAAATCTTTGCTTCAAAATCTATATACTTCATATACTACGTATTATATTTAAATTGGACAAAACATGTTTCAGGCTGAAAAATATAGAACGGACATTAACCTTTTTTAAGGGGTGACATTATAAGTTAAAACCCTCAACTTGTTGGTAGCTTGGTATTATGCTTAGCTTAAATTGTACAAGTCTTTGAACTTTTGCTTCTTCAAAAGTATTGTCTTCAACTCTTGTTTTTTACCCTTGATTGTTTTCGATAACAATACATTACAAATACTAGGATTCAGGGTACCACATTCTGATATTGTATCAAGCCTAACCTGTGTCATCAATCCTTTCTTATGAAAATCTTTTGTATCTCTTGGACCATTGGACCCATGGTCATGAACTTTCAACTTGACTGTTCTTCTAGGTGTGCATTGTTATCTTAATGGGCATTGTTTCTAACTGAATTAAAGCTCTCTGCTGTAGGTCTAGTAGATATACTCGATTGCTCACCCTCCATGAATTTCTTGAAGGCTGAATTACTCAGTGTTCCAGATGATATATGACCCAGATTTAAGATACAAGGTTACAGGTGCCAATCTGATGTAAATATGCAGCATCTAGACATTTCATCCTTTCAGCTTTTAATTAGAGATGGTTCTCTTACTGATAGAACTACTACCGATTTAAACTGTTGTGTTTTTTACTGCATTTGTAAAGAACTGAAAAGATTGGTCATTTGAAGTAGATTTGCATGTTGATATTTTGGTGATGAGATTATGAAATATTGGATTTTTATTCTGTCCTTCCTAATAATATACTCAGATTAGCATCTTATGTCTAAGACACTTTTATGAGGCAATAGATACTTTTCATAACTGCTACACCTTGCATAAGATATTATAAATGTGGAAAAACAATGAGACAACCTTATAAGAGAAATCAATCAAATCATGATGGGTAATTGTCCTTTCAACTAGTATATACGAGTACTTTCTTAAAATTTAAGGTTTCAAATGATGCTGCTCCTTTCGTCTCAATTATTTGCACAATTTTGAACAAAAAAAAATTCTCATAAATTTGGTCATACGGCACACATCACCAACTAATCTATGTTTTTTTTTTTTTTTTTTTTTTTAACTCAACTAATCTATGCAATTATATTGTTCATTTTATTATTACATCAATAAATTATACATTGTATCATCAACTATAAAAAAGTATATTCAACAATTGCATCAAGAAATCACAATTTTTTGTATGTGGCCTCCTGTACCGTGCGGCAGGAGTTATTCGAGTTTTCTGGTCTGGGGTTATTCGAGTTTCTTGGTCAGGGATTACTCAAGTTTCTCGGTCAGGGGTTATTCGAGTTGTCGGGGTTACTTGAGTTACTCCTGACCGAGTAACCCCTGACTGAGTAACCCCTCGAGTAATCCATGACCGAACCCCTCGAGTAACATCTGACCGAGTAACCCCTCAAGTAACTCCTGATTAAGTAACCCCTGACTGAACCGTCGAGTAACCCCTAACCGAACTCCTTAAGTAACCCCTAACCGAATTATTCGAGTAACCCGTGACCGAACTCCTTAAATAACTCCTGACCGAGTAACTCGAATAACCCTTGACCGAGTAACTCGAGTAATCCCTAACTGAGTAACCCTTGACCAAGTGAATCCCTAAATTACCCCTGTCCGAACCCCTCAATTAACCCCTAACCGAGTAACTCGAGTAACCCCTGACTAAATAACTCGGGTAACTCCTAACAAAAAAACTCGGATAACCCCTACTGTATGATGTAGCCTGCTGCACCAAATAATTGTTGGAAAGCAATAGGGAACATGTCCTTTCTTATTACGATTCATTCCTTACATCTTACTGAGGTAAATGTTGTTCCTTTAATAATGTAGTAGTCAAAAAACATGGAAACGAAACATCAGAGGAGTGTATGGAGGCGTTTGATTAGTGTATTTTTTGGATTGAAAACGGATTTGATTAAACCGATATCATTACTGTGTGTTTGGTTTGAAGGCATAGTAATAATTACCATTACCTAAGGGTAATGGTTACCCCTCATTTGTTAGCTCTCAAAAACTAGGGTAACAAATATCTTTATTCTCCTCTTAACAAATATCCTTTCTATAGTTAAATCAAACAAATGAAAAAGCAATAGCCAAATGATTCATTTCCCCCTCTTATTTGTTTCCTTTCCACTCCGTTTCCATTTTCCAACCAAATCCCCTTAAAAAGCTTCCTAAAACGTCCTTTACGTACCCCAAAAAATATTTAACACAAAATAAAAAAAATTCAAACTAATCCGAACCTTCAACTGGAGCAACAATGGCGGCACTTCTTACTGAAATAATCATCGAAATTCTCTCACGATCACTTGTTAAATCACTTCTCCGCTTCAAATGCGTCTGCAAATCCTGGAATTCCTTAATCAAATCCCCCAATTTCATCAAACTACCTCAATCAAACCCTAATTTCAAATTCCGATCATCATGTCAGCAGATGGTCAGAAATCTCCTCACTTCATTCCGCCGAAATTGACCTCAATCTCCACCATAACCACCTCTATTTCTCTGAGCTCAACCACCCTCTCGAAACCCAGAAACTCTACTTGTTTGGTTCCTGCAACGGCGTCGTTTGCATCTCCGATCCCTCCAAAAACGACGTCGTCCTATACAATCCTCTTACCAACTCACACCATAAGCTTCCCGCCGATCGAACTACTCCAAACCTTATCAATGAAGTTGTGTTGTATGGGTTTGGATACGACAGTAAGAACGACGATTACAAAGTTTTGAAGATTGTTCAGGGGTTAAAAAACTTAGAATATGAGGAATCTTTTCACAATGAAGCGAAATTGTATAGTCTGAACAATAATTCATGGAAATGTGTTCAAGGTATACCGTACTATGTCCTCTATGGTGATCCTCATGGTGTTTATCTTAATGAGGTTTTACATTTCATGGTGAATTATATGGAGTCGGATTCGAAGATGTGTAAGTTCATTGCCAGTTTCGATCTTCGAACCGAGACTTTCGAGCTAATGGACTTCCCTAAGCTAGTTATGATGATAAGTTGAGGAATCCTTTAGAGTATATAGAGTTGTACTTGAGAGAATTGGGTGGGTGTTTGTGTTTAATGGTGAATTATCATACTAATAACTATGCTCATATGTTTCCTCCTGGTATTGAGTTAGGTAATCAAATACTGTATCGTGCTGATTTGTGGGTAATGAAAGAGTTTGGTAACAAAGAGTCTTGGGTTAAGTTGTTTAGCATTTGCAAGATGAACATTATTCAAAGTTGTTTATCTCTTAGGCCTGTTGTCTATTCTAAAGACGGGTGAAGGATTTTGATGGAGAAAGACTATTCGGATTTTGCCTGGTATGATCTTGGGTCCTAATAGCTTGGATGGTCACAATGCATGTTAGATTAGATCATGTTTTGGTAACTGGTAACTATTGTAATTTGTAAGGGCATTTTTATACTTCGTAGTTGTTATCAGGGTATGCACTAACTCGCTGATATTGTTATGATATCTGTTGACTGTTGGTGTTTAGAACGCATAAGCCACTAGGTGCCTTGGCATACTACCATTGTTTGCCTTGTCTCACCTAAGTATTTTACTAATTTCGAATAATAGATACAATTATATATCTTCATAAATCACAATGTTTAAATCTGATTAAAACTAATGTACAGTACCTCTTTAATTATTACTGGTATACGCTTTCTATTCTTAACTTTTTCTAATTTAAACATCTTGTGTAATATGTTTGTACTAAGTATCATTTTTTGTTTCTTTTTGTTTGAAACTACATTTAGCTTAGTAAGCATTGATATGATCTTGGGATAGCGGTGCTAATTGAGTTGAGAAGCTCGCGAGCAACTCGAATTCGACTCGGTCAAAATCCGAGTCGAGTTAGCTCGACTTGACTCGAGATGTTAACGAACACGAGTTGATGAGCAAGCTCTAACTCAACTCGATAACATATTCTATTAATATAGAATTTACAAACAAAGTTAACATGTTTAAACAAATTAGACACTTAATAAATGTTAATTTATATTATCAAAAAGAAAGAGTAAATCTTTAATAATAAATATATATAAAAAAAACAATATAAAGTGAAAAACAAAAAAATAAAGGCTTAAAATTACAGAAGGCCAAAACTTTAACGAGCAGATCGTGAGCTACTCGACTCGACTCGAAACTTCAACAAGCACGAGTCGAGCAGGTTTTATTAGCTCGAAACTTTAGCAAGCACGAGTTGAGCACATTTAAAAAGTTTTCGAGTCGAGTCGAGCACCCTTCAGCTCGTGATTGCCTCGCTCGATAAGCACCCCTATCTTGGGAGGATCAAATTGTAACTTCGTAAGCATTGTGCAATGGAAGTATTCATTCTGAAGCTCTTTTTTTTTTATCTGCAGTAATGATTCAGATAACTTTCTTTTTGCAGGTTTCAAGCTGAAGCTATATATAAGCCTATCACCTAACTGAAGATGGGAGTTCACAGACTATGTAAGTATGTATGCAAGTTATATTTGCAGTCTAAAATTCTGTTAGCACTACCTTGTTCAACTGCTTGATTAGTGCCATAACTATTGTCTATAAAACCTTATAACCCAGTTAAATTTGTGATTCTTAAGTACCCTTGCAATTCCAATTGGGACTAAAAGAGTAACTAAGGATGAATACATGTGGGATGTACCATTAACTAGAGAGACTGATTAAGGGTAAGAGCTGGTTCTTTTTTATATATATAAATAAAATTATGAAGGAAAGGTAAATAGATCTATAGTCCCCCTATCTCCGGGAGACCAATGATTTAAGTGCTATGGGATAAACATAACTTATGTGCCTTCCAGCCTTTCTGCAAGTTAGGCTCGCACTGTAATGACTGATCACTGAATCAATAAGAACCTTAATTGGATTTCAATGCAAGTATAAAATCCATCAAGTTTGTTCTTTCTTGATTGCCATCTATAAGATGTGTATACGTACTGGACCCCCAAGGTGGTCTTAACATTAAGAATCATAAACTTGGAATGTAGGAGCCTTTATTTAAGTTGTATGTTGGACTATGCATTTCAACAGAAAAACCTTTTGGATCTCTTGGACCCATAATTATTAGCTTTACCACACAATTCCACAAGGAGTGTATATCTTAATGGCACTGGCTTCTGGTTTAAGAAGAATTCTCTGCAATAGGTCTGGATATGCTTGCCAACTGATCTGCTCACCTTCCATAACTTTAATAACTGAAGAGTTGTTACGGATAATAATTGGACTATATAAGAATCGCAAGGATAAAGGTGGCTGGTGCTTAATTTAATTGTGAATAAGCAATTTAGGCGTGACCAACTCTGACTCTTTTGTTTTTGTGGCCTTTGCTAAACCCGAAAAGGTTGAGCCCGTGCACTTGATTGAAGCAGATTTTCTTGTGGGCTATATATGGTGTGAGATATGGAGGCAAAATGGAGATTTGTTTTCTTAGAGTCCACTCAAGTGTCCTATTCTTACAAATTATATATGGCCTTCTGTATTCATAATAGTTTACTCTTATTTTTAGCTGTTTTGCCTTGATGTTTTGCTATGTTTGAGTTCAAGGATTCATGAGCTGAGGCGTAACTCAACTTAATTGTTTTCTATTCCAGGATTGACCCATGGCCGAGGGCCTGATCAAGGTGGCCATCGGAGCACTGGCTACGTGATTCCATAGGAGAGAAAATTGAGAAAAGACAGCGTAGTAGTTTGGTTTTTCTTTTGATAGCTACTGTGGGTAAATCTTTTCTACTGTATGCCATGCTAACTTACAAATAGTACAGTAGATTATGAACTTCTCGTAGTTTCTTGTGTTAAATCTAGTTATTTGAATTTAATCCTGTCTGTAGTTTTATAGCAACATTGAGTTTGGCGGAAACTTATATGCAGCAATCAGTGCATTGTTGTAGAATTGAGCTTGAAAAGCAGTATACAGCAATTATTCCTGGATGGCTGGATGTAGGGAGTTTATGCTCTCTTTCCCATAGATAAGCTAGAAACATAACCGAAATTCACAATATTTTATACCATTTCAGTCTAAATAAGTTGATAGTTGAGTTGTCTATACTCTATAGTAGTATAGTGGGGCTGAAGTGTATAGTTTGAGGGAAAATTCATAAAGGAATCCCAATGAAAATAAATATGACAAAAAGAATAACAATAATACTACTAGATTTACCAATTTGAGCTTTACTCAAAGTCCTTAAGTATCATCTAGAATTCCTAAAAAAAAATATATATCATTTTTAAATGGAATGACCCAATTATATAGGTCCGACATTTTATTTTCTCTATCTCTCTCCATTTCTTTTTAATTGCATCACTTTCTTAAATGCAAGTTTAAAATTAGTTGCATCACTTAAAGTTAATAAATTCTCTTTATCTCTCTCCAATCATATAGATTCAACCTTTTTATTCTCTCAATCTCTCTCCTCTTCAAAAATTGTCTAGAAGTATGCAATTTAAAAAATAATGCGACTAAAAAAACAGAGGAAGTAAGATGGATAAAGGCCTAGGAACTCTTCTAGAATTTCATAAGACTACCCCAGTCCAGGTTCAATTGAAAGTGTCTTGTTAATTAATGATAATATTATGCATTTTGAATTTTTGAGCTTTGTTTAAAAAACAAAAAAATACGCATAATCTGTGAAAACTGAAACCCCCAACTCGTACAAACTTGGAAAAATTTATTTATTTGTAGATATTAAAAGCCTAATTTATTTTGAAACCAAAAATATACATCAACTCCAAACCCGATATAACCGACACGCTAAACAAGTGTAATCTAATTATCTAATACTCGTACTTAACTTAGGTTCTGTTCTTTAGAGCTGCTCTGCTCTACTGTGCTCTGTCATAATCTGCTCTGCTCTGATTAAAAATAATAATTAATAATATCTTTAAAATAAATAATTAATATTTAATAATAATAATAATATAATTAATAATTCACAATAAAAATAATTAATATTTATAATAATATTAATTAATAATAATAAATATATATTGATCATAATAATAACACATAACATTTTTTCCTGAGGGAATAATAATACTTCATATTTAATAATAATACTAAAATATTATTTATAACAATAAGTAATGATATAAAAAGTAATATATTTTACTGATATATCACCCTTTTTTTAAAAGAAAAAAGTAAATTGGATTAATTAATAATCAAATCTAAAAGCTACCCAAAACTATACAGTGGTTATCAAAAGCTTAAACCAATATCTTTGTGGTCAAATGTTGTCATATCCAATTCAAAATACTATCCCCAATTACCCATATAATTTTCTTAAAATTGGAAAAAAAATTACAAAAAATAAATAAATAAAGTAGTTCCTCCATATAAAGCAACGGTTATAATAATTTGAAGGTGTTAAACTATTGTCTTTTATCTTTCTACTATTAACATATGTTAAATATGGTACACATCTATTTATGTTTTGATTCACCTAAATCAATGATATATTGATATACACTTATTAATAATAATAATAATATTATTAAAATCTGCTCAGTTCTACTCAGAAGTTAAAAAAAAACGGGGCCTTACTAACCCGTGAAAGGGAGGGAAAATCAAAACAAATATAGCAGTAGCAGTATTATAAAACTGCTGTTTTCAAATTTCAATTTAAGCAACAACAATGACGACTCTCCCAATTGAGATCATCACTGAAATCCTCTCTCGATTACCTGTAGAATCACTTCTCGAATTCAAGTGCGTCTCCAAATCATGGTATACCCTAATCAAATCCCCAAATTTCATCAAACTTCATCTCAATCAAACCCTAATTTCCAACTCCAATCGTAATCTTCTCCTCTCCTACTCCTCTGATCATTCTTCCGACATCAATTTCCACCATAATCATCTCGTATACTCAGATATCGATCTCAACCACAATCACCTCCTATTCTCGGAGCTCGATCACCCTCTTAAACACCGCGAAATCAACTTTGTTGGATCCTGTAACGGCATCGTTTGCATCTCCGATAAATCCAAAAACGACATTTTCTTGTTCAATCCAGTGACGAAATCTCGTCGAAAACTTCCGCCCAATCATACTCACAACCCTGGGAATGATAAGACTTTGGTGTTCGGGTTCGGTTTCGATAGCGAAAACGATGATTATAAGGTTTTGAGGTTGATTCAGGACAGTCATTACAGTGAGGTTCACCATAGTAAGGCTGAAGTGTATAGTTTGAGGGAAAATTCATGGAGATGTGTTGAAGGAATCCCATATTTTCTGTTGTTTGTGTATCGTCATGGTGTTTTTGTTAATGAGGCTATGCATTACATTGTGGTTACTAAAGAACTACAAATGCAATGCAAGTTCATAGCCAGTTTCGATTTTAAGACCGAGAATTACTCGATTATGGACTGCCCGGATTATGATGATAAGTTGGGTGGGTCTTTGGATTTGGGTGAGCTGGGTGGGTGTTTGTGTTTGTTGGTTATGTATCGTACATTAGTACCTGCTTCGCCTTTGGAGGATCCTTATGATAGAATTGATTTTCGAATGAATCGTGCTGATTTGTGGGTGATGAAGGAGTATGGGAAGAAAGAGTCTTGGGTTAGGTTGTTTAGTATTCCCCAGACGGCGAGTGTTGGGATGTATCTACAGATTAGGACTATTGTTTACTCTAAAGACAGGAGAAGAATTTTGTTGGAGTATAATTCTTTGGGGCTTGGTTGGTATGATTTGGAGACCCAGAGTTTTAGTCAGTTTAAGGGACTGCCACAAGCACCGATATCTTCCGGGTTCTTCGTGAGTAGCCTTGTATCCTTGGAGATTAACAAGCAGAAGTCTGATTGTGGTACCAGATTGTCAATGCCAAGAAAGAACACCAAGAAGTAACAAAAACTTTTTAGCTTATGTTCCTTGCATAGTTGCATATATACAAATATCAAATGCACAAATTTATTTTTTCACATATATGATGTCTTGGATCCTCACTAGCTGTCTAAAGTTCATACAAGTAATATTTGATTGTTATTTGGTAGATGTGGTTTGCTTTGTGGCTTGTTTGGTGGGCATACAGATAGGATTTTTTCAAATGAATTAGAATCGATTTATGTAAGTGATGCCTGTGCCCTGTGCCTTGTTGCTTTACCTGGTTGAAAGTTGAAAGCCATAATGTTCTTTTTCCTTATAATTATGTACCTCCTAAATGGGACTCAAAACATGCAAGGAAGGATCATGAATAGCTTGTGAGTGCCTTTTGCATTAGGTTGTAGTTCTGTTTCCTCTATACTCCAACCCACCAATGACCTTGCCAATTTGCCATACCCTTGTGCATGTGTGATTTGTCTAACACCTAATAGAATTACTTGGATGTGATACTTGTATCAAGTAATTGGAAAAAGAAAGTGAAATTTATAGGAAAGTTAATTATCCATATTAAATACTTCTAATGTTCCCAGCACTCTCGAAGAGCATAAATACATAGATGGCTCTCAACTCTCAAGAATTGCAGCTCTGACTAGATCTTCTTGTTTGCGGTTGTACTCATACATTGTTGAGTTTGTTTCAAATAGTAGCTGTTGTAATTCTGAGAAAGCAGAGGCCACAGCCTACGCTTCCCTTATTTCACTTAAGTAGAGGTTTTCATATATGTTGAATGTTCCTTCAAGCTATCATCTTATGATGATTTAATCTGGCATAAGGAGCTCTTTGTTACCATTCTAAAGCTCTCCCTTCTTTCTTCAGCAAACAGTTGGATGATTTTCTTTCTACAGGATTCAAGCTCAAGCTATGACCTGATTGAGCTACTTTTGGGAATTAGTTCAGAACTATGTAACGTTAAGCCGTAAGCATGAAAGTCACATTGCAGTGATCTTATTTTTTTGTTCTCATTAGCTTCTTTAATTTTTTTTTTTAGTATACATATAGTAGAGATTGTGGTTTGATTTCAGCTGAAGAGGTTTTCTCAATCACTCAGTCACTCCTTGTTTGATAAATCTTCAGGATGATGCCTTGAAATTGGGTAAATTGTATGGTCTTATTTAATTTGAAAAATACAGACCAAGCATGGAGCATAACTTATTGTAAGCTTGATGTTAGAACTATCATACTTGATGAGATTATGTCGACTTGTCAAGTTAAAGCTACACAAGATTGAACTCTCATACTGATTATTGCATTTGAAAACATGAAAAGTAATTGCTTGAAAATACTTTTGACGTCAAGCATATGAGGTTTTGTCATTTATATTTGTTTTATGTTATAAAAGTTGCAATTTGCTGATGAATATATGCTCCGAGTAACCCATCTCTTTTCCCAAAAAGAAGAAATTAAAAAAAAAACACTGGAGAGGTTGTGCAGGATAGGACAAACTGATATTCAGAGGGAAGTGAGGGTTGCAATAGAAAGAGTTCAGAGTGTTACCTTACTAAAGAATGAAGAGGCTTTAGTTATTTACATCTCGTTTGACCTATGCTTATTAAGCTATTATGTTCAAGTGGTTCATATATCAGTCTTTTGCTGGTTTGAGGAAGCACAATACTTGTAAAATGAAATTCTAGGCATTGTCCTCTCATGTTCACACCTGGCCTTATGTCTCGCTAGTGAGGAAATTGGGAGTTTTTTTATTTTGCATTGTCACACAGTGATGTTTCTTTTGCAGAGATCATTTGGTGTTGCTGGGTTTCATTAGGTTGCCCCTTTAATATATGGGTTCCTCTACTAGTATACAATGAGGTCTAAATAGCAAAAGAGGCATAAGATTTTGTGGAGAAATGGTATTGTAGGATTCTGCGGTCAGGAGTCCTCTTTTTGTATTTTATGAGATGTGAGTGGTGTATTTTAGTATTTAGGCTCTCTTTGGGCTTATGGGGGATTCTTACCGCGAGATTATCTTTTCCCTTGATTTTCTTTGTGTGTGTTTTCTTGTCAAGAAGATAATAAAATTAGTCTTGTTCGGAACGAGGTCTTTTTTTAAATGCTGGTGACTTGTTGACAAAGTATATCAAGTGTTTAGTGTTTGTGTCCAGTTAAATGTTTATGAAATTAGAGAATAATCTATGCTCCTATGTCTTCCTCTCCGCACTTGGGGCATAGCACAAGGAATTTAGATCTAAATTAAGATAGTTTTGTACTCTATTAAGATGGAGTAGTTTTATACTCTGTACAAGTTATGATTCATAAGGGCCATGACTCCAGCAAGAAAAGCTTGTGCGTTCTTTGTTGGTAGAAGCTGTCTATAGGTCTATATTCAAGCTCAAGGTGGCCTTATTATCAAGTTTCTGACACACTTTAAAATATAGTAACTTTATCGATCTATCAAATTTATGAAGAAGAATTTGGATTTTAAACCTAGGCTTTTTTCATGGATATTTTGTACTGCTCGTGCTAATATTAGTTTGCTAGTCTCTGTGCAGTGTTAGAATTCTGATTTGTGCACTTGTGATTGTTTTTACAACAATTCACACGAAGAGAGAGTTCCAGAGACATTAAACAAGTTTAGAGGATTGATAATTCTGGATCTTGGTTAAATAAGCTATCAGGGGAGATGCCTGCAAAGACTCATCCCTCTCTTCAGATTATCAGATTACAAGGAAATCAATTTCTTGGAGCAATTCCAGTGCCACTTTACTCACTCTGTCATTCCGTTGGCTTCACATCTCTTTATTCACTCATCCTCAAATTGGCATTGCAATATTACGAGTATCAACCAATTATAACATACAGGTACACTGTAACAACTGTAAGCAGTATCTATTTATAAACTATAAATTGATGTTGAAAATGATCAACAAGTTTTATCCCAAAAACACCAGTCAAATCAAACAAAACTTAACTACTAATTTTACAGTATTTTACACCCATAATTTGAGGTCAATCCAAGATATAAAAAGTACTTATACTAATACCCCTAACTAAAAATACCCTTCCTATTTTGACCAGCCTAGAATTGTTGTTTTATCAGTCTCAACCATAGCTTACTCCTCTTCAACAATCCTTCCCTTCTCGCTGACATAGATACCATCAAGGAACTTCCTGATATCCTTGTTCTTAACATGACATTTCTGATCAAATACAAACACGGCAATTAGAAAACTTGTGATACTGATACAGAGTCAAGAAATAAAATGCAACCAAAAATAATGATATTAATAAAAGTACCTGGTTAATCAAAGCAGCAGATCGAGAAACAAGCTCAATGTCGCTTCCATCCAAGACGAGCTCATCCTTAACCTTCTCGGATCTCAAGATGGTAACACCGTCCAACATGTCAACCTTCCTGACCTGAAAACAATTACAGCAGCATAGGTCAGTAAAGAAAAACAGTTGCATCAATGGGTAGAAATCATCAAACAATAACAACAATGTTCTAATCCTTTAATGTTTACTTAAAAATATTATTAATAATTGTGTTGATTAGAAATTAATGAACTAGTAGCTTATTGCATCCAGAAGACAGCATTTCAAATGAAAGGCACAAGAATGGATGATGCATGAGAAAATCAGGCAAGCATATCTTCTACTTAAAAAAACTACTACACACAAGAGAACCTCACTCATTTGGAGCTCTACCAAAGGAGGAAATGTGCCCAAAAAACATGATTGTAATCGACCTTCAAATGTACTATAAGAAATATGGTACAATCAAAGATACAGTAGATATTGTCAAATCAATACTCGAGTTTCTTAGCTCTATGAGTTATAACTTGACAGAATACTGTGACAATGCTTATGATAACTTCAAGAACTATTATAGCTATAGTTCAACCAATTGTTATGTTCCATCACCAGAACTATTAAGTTTCTAATACAATAATTTCATTCATTGTTTATATACTTATACAGAGTAAAGAAACCATTCCAACCTCCCTTAAACATACACAGTGATCTCAATAAACCACCGATCCTACAACTTCAAAAACCATGAATCCAACATGAAAAGCAAATACAGTCATAAACCTATCAAACAAAGTCAAATATGATAACAATTCTGGAAAAGGTCAACAAATTAGCAACTCAAATTAAATAAAAAAATTGATAGTATAATAAAAACAGAACAAAAACATAAATTCCATAGAAAAAAAAAAAAAAAATCGATCCTTTTCCAAAATAATCAAGAAGCAAGCAACAAAAATCAACACGAAATTAACTCAGAAGAGAGAAAAAAGATTACCCTTTTCTCGCCGAGAAAGTTACGAATCTCAATACTCTTGTTAGAATTAGTAATACTGGCATTAATGGGAAAATGAGCATAAACCATCCTCATTTTGTAGCGATAACCCTTGGTAACACCGGTGATAAGATTCTCAATGTGACTGATAGCAGTACGAATAGCAGCTGAAGTTTTCCTGGTTCCAAACCATGAATCAATGTTCAGCTTCCTCTTACCTTCTTCATCAGTAACCAATTGAAAATCAAGGTTCAGATGCTTGAAGTTGCGGGTCAGGGTGCCCCTTGGTCCTGAAACGACGATGATCTTAGCGTCGACCTTGATGTCAATCCCATCTGGGATTTCCATGGAGTCGGAAGATAGTACTTGCTTCATTGTTGATGCTGTCTGCTTTTTCTCTCTCTTAGGGTTTTCCCCGATGAAGAAGAACAGGCGTTGTTGGAGTGGAGTGAGAAATCGGGATTATAGAGTGAGGGATTATGGGCTGATTAGAATTTATGAAGGTGTTGTGTTTTTTGGGCTCTGGCCTTTTTTTTTATTATTTTTTTTTATCTATCTATCTATACTTAGTATAGTATTCCATATTTAACAACACAAATCATCATGCCAATATGTCACATGTCACTCTTTTTTTGATGAATAATATCATACTACCTCCGTTTTTTTTAGTTGACACGTTTTGATTTTAGCACTATTCACACATTTGCCTTTGACCGAGTTTTGTGATTTATATGTAATGATAAATATAGTCATGTGGGATCCTTTTAGATTCGTGACGATATATAGTTTCACAATATCAACTTTTCATAATTTTTGCTTATCGGTAATTAAAGATATTAATAGTTAAATTTGTGCATTGACAAACGTGACTAAAAAAACGTGTCAACTAAAAAGAAACGGAGGAAGTATGTCACTCTTCTTTTAATCCTCTTTCTAACATACTTCCTCTGTTTTTTATTACTTAACCTATTGCAAATAGACACAGTTTTAAGGCAGAAGTAGAAAAAAAGGTGAAAGACCAAAGTACCCTCCACTCTTACCCTTCAAAAACCAAGCAACCAACTATACTTCAAAAAAGAAAAATAAGCATCACTATGCTATTTTTCTTTGATTCCACAGCTAAATGAAGGGTGAAGCCGAGTCATATCTCCAGGTATGGTCAATTCTATTAGCATCACTATGCTATTGCTACTTTATAGCTTTCAAGATCCCTAAGGGGAACTTAAGGTTTATCATTTTCCTTCCAAGTTTCTACCTATTCACCATTTCCCCCTCTTTTTTCCCTCTATAATCCTTAGAGGAATAATTTCATACTTTATCACGTACATAGAAAACTTTAAACCACTTTTATTTTCATACGGCCTCGGCCCGTTATCAGATTGTCAAAACATGTATAAACATACTATAAAACCTCACAAATAAAAATACGATCCGCCCATAAAATTAACCCCTGTCTTTAGATTTATAGTGGTTGCTATTTTCCCGATGAAAAAATAAAGATCCAATTTCCAAAAAACAAAAGGCCAAGAAAGTATTGCCCCTAACTATATTGCATGAGGCCTTGCTTTTCTCAATTTTCTCAACCTATTATTATGTCTACAAAGACAATTACACTCAGGGGTAATTTGGGTATGTTATTGTTGTATAATGTATTTATTCCTTGATGTCATTGTGGTAATTTGCAACAAATTGGCGAAGGCAATCTTAGACGTGGAGGTACATCCACTGTCCGATGAACCTTGCTTATCAACCTCACTCTAAGATTTTTGGAGTAGAAGATGGAACCTCATGGTAACAGATGTACTGCGACACACCATATATGTACCCATGAGGGCGTTTTTGTCAAAGGACGTACGTCAACCAAAGGTTTTAGTTCCTTCTGTGATGACTGTTTTTCTAGTATCTGGTCTTATACATGAACTAATCTTTTAATACTTAACATTTGTGCGATACCCTTATTTACCACATGCATGTAACAATCTATAATAGATAAACTTAAAAGTGTAAAATGTTCTTTCTCAAGTTCAACGGTTATGGGAATATAAAAAAGGTAAAATTTGGTATCTCCTAGAACTCCTACAATATGTTCGAAGACAATTACTTTGGTTTTCAAGCTCACAAGTTCTTG